GAGCCAGCTGGTCTACCCTGAGTGGCCTAGGACCAATCTACTAGCAAATGTGTATTTATCCCTGGAGCATTGCAGGATCCTATAAGTGACTGAAGCCAGCTGCACAAGTGCAACAGTTTTTATTGATAATTCGCCTGGGACTTACTCATGCATGGCCTTGTGACAGTTCCCAGCTTTGTCCCTTATGGCCATACCTGGCCAGACCCCTGCAGCAACCTCTCATTAGTGTGGGCCTGCTTTCCAGTCCCACATTTTTTCTTTTTTTATTCTTCACCCAAGGATATTTTTCCCATTGAGTTTTAGAGATGGAAGGGAGGGAGAGGAGAGGAAGAGATAGAAAGAAAGAAAGACAGAAAGGGGAGAGAGAGAGAGAGAGAGAGAGAGAGAGAGAGAGAGAGAGAGAGAGAGAGAGAGAGAAACATCGATGTGAGAGAGACACATCATTTGGCTGCCTCTCACTCACACCCTGAGTGGAGCCAGGGATTGAACCTACAACCAAGGTACATGCCCTTGACTGGGAATCAAACCTGAGACTCTTCTGTCCGAGGGCCGATTCTCTAACCACTGAGAAAACTGGCCAAGGCTCCAGTCCCACACTTCTTGATTCCATTCTCCATGGAACTGTCGATAAAGATGAGATCACATCTCAGCTCTGCCACTACTGGCTGTGCCTGAGATAAAGTCCCAGTGTTCTGATGTGGGTGCACGGCCTCTGCCTTACAATTCCTGGCTCTCCCTTCCTGTCATACTTGGGGCTCATGCCTTCCTGTGTTTTCTCAAGCATATCACCTGCACAAGGCTTGCTTTCTCCCGCCTCTAAATCCTTCGTTCCAGAACCTTCTCTCCCCTAGAGCCCTCCCCTTCCCTGTCTTTTCACTCAGTCACTCCTACTTGTCCCCTTGACTGTGGCTTAAAATGCTACTTCCTAAGAGATGCCTGATGACCCCCTGGACCAAAGTTTCTCAGATTTTCTGATCATCGGAATCCCTGCAGTGCTTGTTAAAAATATATCCAAAGCCATGTCAGGTCCACGACTCAGAGTCTCCTGAGAAAATACCAAGTGCTGGCCAGGAAGGTAGGAACCACTCCCCTGGATCAGCTTTGCTTAAGCTTTTGGCTGCAGATTGGACAAGCCCATGGAATCAACATCCCTGGGCCTGTCTGACATCATTATTTTTTTGACGTTTGAGTCACATGCAGCCAAGGTTGAGAACTGCCATCTTAGACCAATGTTCTCAGACATTTGTGTGCAGAAGAATCATCACGTTTGTTTTAAGTGCAAATTCTCAGTCTCACAACCTCCCAGAGGCCGATTCAGGAGAGCTGGGGTTAAGGCCAGGAATCTGCTTTTTGTCAGTATCCTCCACGTGCTTCTGACACAGGGGCTTGAGGACCACAGTCTGAGTCCCCCTTGTTGGAATAACAAAGGGTCCACTGTTGGCTTCCTCGGCATCCTAGCTTCCCTTTCATGATAGCCCTCCCTCTATTTTTTTTCCGTTTTATTGAGATATAATTGACATACAGCACTCTACAGTATAATGTGAAGGTGTACAGCATGATGGTTTGACTTACACATATTTTTAAATGATTAGCACAATATTTTTAGTTAACATGCATGATCTCATAAAAATACAGTAAAAGGAAAAAGAAAAAAATTTTTCCTTATGATGAGAACTTAGGATCTACTCTGTTAACAACTTTCCTATGTATCACTAGCAGTGCTAACTATAGTCATCAAGTCGTGCATTATATCCCTAGTCCTTATTTATACCTAAAAGTTTGTACCTTTTGATCACCTTCCTCTAAAGTCCCACCCCATCTCTGGTAACAACAAATGTTATCTCTTTTTCTATCCGGGTTTTGTTTTGTTTGTTTGTTTGTTTTAGATTTTGCATATAAGTGAGATTACATAGTATTTGTCTTTCTCTGTCCAACATATCATTTAGATTAATATGCTCAAGGTCCATCTATGTTTTCACAAGTGGCAGGGTTCCCTTATTTTTCATGACTGAATAATATTCCATTTTATACATAATGGATAAACATCTTTATCCATGCATCTATAAATGGACACTTAGATTGTTTCCAGTCTTGGCTATTATAAATAATGCTGCTATGAATATGGGGGATGCAGATATCTTTTCAAATAAGTGTTTTTGTTTCCTTTGTATATATTCCAGAAGTAGAATTGCTGGATCACATGGTAGTTCTATTTTTAATTTTTTAAGGATCATCCATGTTTTTTTCCATAGTGGCTGCACAAATTTACATTCCCACCAACAGTGCACAGGGTTCCTTTTCCCCACATTCTTGTCAGAATTTGTTATTTCATCTATAATAATAAAAGTATAATGTGCTAATTAGACCAGACGTCCTTCCGGATGTCCTTCTGGACGACCTTCCAGACAAAGCCGGGGCTATGAGGGAAGCCCGGGTTCCGGGTGCCAGAGGGAAGCCGGTGCTGGCAGTCGGGGGAAGAAAGGCCTACTCTTGCATGAATTTTGTGCATCGGGCTTCTAGTCTTTTTTATAATAACCATTCTAACAGATGTGAGTGATATCTCATTGTGGTTTTGTCCCTTCTTAAATATTGAGGCTTGGACTTCCTACAATGTGTCCAGAACCAGCACAGTGCCTGGACATGGTGGACACTGAATAGACATTCATGGAGTCACTTCACTGTGCTGTACTTTTCTACATATGTGTCTTATTTTCCCAACTGTTATATAAACTATTTGAGACCAAGGAAGAACATGTGACATTACTTGTCCTACACCACAATGACCTTTATATTGTAGAAACTCTGTAAATTTATTTTTTATTATTTAGTAGGTATTACTTAAGATGCTTGAGCTGCTATGATAGGATTAAAACTAAAAACAGGTTGATAAAATACTGCTTTACACAACAGTGTATTCTGTTAATTCTGAAATTGCTCAAAAGAGGGAACTACAATGGATGCAGGTTTATTTTTATGACATATGCAAATGGCAAACTCAGTTACATTGGAATGTGTACTATGTTCTGGTTTATTTCATAAGTAAGATCCTTGTTCTGACACATCCTCCCTCTCATCTTCTCCTGAAAATAAGTCCCTGGAGAAACGCCGAGGGGGTCCTTCTCCGAATGTCAGGAAGCATAGCACATTTTGTGGCAGACCCCTAGCAAAGATAAGAGATACTCCACCTGCCAAGCCCTCAGGTCACCTCAAAATCACCAGATCCTTTACTTAGCAACCGTAAACCATTCTGGGTTTAATGAATTCAGAATCCTATTCTGGCAAAACACTGAACTTTTGGTCATAATCAACTTCGGGAAGTTTCACACCTTTACCTGCGTTCTGGGGATCATATGTCCAAGTTATGTTCTTAATTTTCTCAAATAACCATTGACCTTCCTTGCAACTTTCTCCTTAAAAGCGAAAGATCTACATTTCAAGAGCATATGAATCATTAGTATCTTTTGATTCTGATTCAAAGCTTTGAACCAATGAACCCTACATGTGTTAAAAGTTTATCAAATGAGTTATGCTGTTCCGAGTCCTTTGAATTATTTGACTTCTGAAGAGAACCATGCTGCATGGATTTTCCAACTTTTTTGACCATGACTCTCAGTGAGAAATAATTTTTTCATTGTTACTCAACACACACACACACCAAAAGTTCCATGAAAAAAAAAATAGTTTTCCATATTATATGAAATGTATACTGTTCTTTTTTTCTATTCTATGCCATTCATTTTTTTAACAATAGTCCCATCTATTAAATCATTAGTTCTCAAATTTAACTACCTATTGGAATGACTGGGGAAATGTTAACGATTTACAATACCTGGGTCCCACTCCTGCAGAGCCTGATTTAATTGGTCTGAGGTGTGGCCTGAGCAGTGGGATTTTAAATTCCCCACCAGAAGACTGTTATGTGCGTCCCAGTGAGGCAACATGTGCAATAAGTTGATTTCCTAGCCACAAATAGGTCATGACTTGCAGTTTAAAAAACACAAACACTGAGTAACATCAGACACTAATTTCCAAAACCAGTAGCATTTTCAAGTGGACTTGTTTATTCTCTGGACAGTGTGCCAATGGCAGTTCTGTGTCCTGTGACCTGGATACTGAGGATAAAAATGTGCAGAAGACATTGTGTCTGCCCTTGAAGAACTGATAGCTTCATTTTCACAAATGAAACACACACATGTAGCCAACACCCAGATCAAGAAACAGCACTGCCAGCACCCAGAAGCCCTTTATGTCCCCTCCCCAATCAAGATGTGACTTCTAACAGCATAGATTAATGTTGCCTGTTTTTATACTTTAAGCAAGTGGAATAATACAACATGTTCTCCTCAGTGTGTGGCTTCCATAGGTTAACATTCTATTTGTGAGATTCATCCATATTATTCGGAGTAGCTATGGATCATTCATTCTTGTTGCTTTATAGTATTCCACATTCTATAAATACACCTCAACTAGTCTATTCATTTTACTCTGGATGGGCATTTGAGATCTTCACAGTTTGGGCCTGTGAACATTCTTGTACATATGTCTGGTGAATGTATGCACACATTTTTGTTGGATACATACCTAAGGATGGAAATTCTGGGCCATAGCTTAAGTATATGGATAACATTAGAAGATACAGCCAAAAAGTTTTCCAAAGTGGTTGCAATAATTTACACTCCTATCAGCAAAGTACATGAGTTCCAGCTGCTCCACATCTTTGTCGATACTTAGTATTGTCAGTCTTATCATTTTAGCCATTCCAGTGTGTGTGTTAGAATGCACATTTGAGATGCATTTGAGTAAGAAAGACAAGTGTGGTTTTTTTTTAATTGACAAATATAACATGATTCTAAATAGTGCATGGGAATTCTCCCTTGACTTGGGGTTCATAGATATTCCAAAATCTTACAAGGGGTTTTTGTCCTGTCTTAGTCATTGTGTCTTTCTTCCTCTCTCGCCCTCCCCTTTTCTCTTGTTTCCCAACGGCTTCCGGCATCCAGTCTGGGTCTCACCTGGAGGGACATGCAGCATCTGACTGTGCTCACCTCCAAACGAAACCAGCTTCATGATGAGGTTCATCAGTGGCGGCGGAATGGGGTCGGCCTGGAGTTTAATCACCTCTTTGGCTACGGGGTCCTTGACGCAGGCGCCATGGTGAAGATGGCTAAAGACTGGAAAACGGTGCCGGAGAGATTCCACTGTGTGGGCGGCTCCGTGCAGGACCCTGAGTAAGTGGGTGCCATGGTTCTTCTGCTGCATGTGGAAATGTCCCAGAGATGGTGCCATGGCATTAGTGACAATATCAGATTCCCTCTCTGTCAGGGAGATGTGCTGGATTTGACTTAGGGACAACTAGCTTGCAGAGAGAACTATAGCAATGCACAACTCCTGGGGATGGGGGGCATTTACATAGAACACAGCCGTGTGACTCAGAACCCATATTTTTAGGTGTGAGCATTAACTTTTTGGGTGCTTTATGCCATTATTTTTCATTGCAAAAACCAACCAGTGTAACCACCTCCCAGATCAAAGAACAGAACACAACCTATATCCCAGAAAATCCTGAATCCTCTTCCACCATAATCTCCCCACTATTCTTCTAACTCCATAGATTACTTTGCCTAGTTCATACTTAATATAAATGGAATAATACACGGTGTTCTCCTTTGTGTCTAGATTGTTTTGCTCAGAATTATGTTATGAAATTCAAGCATGTTTAGTGTGTACTTGTAGCTCATTCATTCTCATTGTTGAATAATGTTTCTTTGTGTGACTATAATACAATTTATTCATTCTGCTTGTGGGACAAGGTAAGCATTACATTTTATTCCAAGTGATGTGGATAGACATGAAAGGATTTAAGTGAGAAGTTCCTTACCCAGAAAGCACTGCACTGGTCACATGAACCTACTTCTCATTATGGCAAGAGGATTGGACAATAGGGTCCTCTTTATTTAATTCCTTTCCTCATTGGTCCATCAGTAAACTAGAAATAGAAGTTTTTATCATTGTTATTTTTAATGAAGGTTTTGTGTACATACAACGAAATGCACAGAACTTAAGTGTGTTATTTGAGTTTTGATAAGTGTATATACCTGAGTAACCACCATCTAATCAAACACTGGAACATTCCATTACCCCAGAAAGATTCCTCATTCCCCCTTCCAGTTAATCCCCACATCCCTGGGCAGCCATTGTTTTCATTCCTGCCCCCAAAGATTAGCTTTACAGTTCTTGGGCTTTCTCTGACTAAATCGCATTGCATGGACACTTTGGTATTCAGTTTCTTTTACTAAACATCTGAACCTTCTTCCCCACAGAAGGTTCAGAGAGAATAGGTAACTTACTCATGCTCATACAACTCAAGTCGGAATTAACCCAGGTCTGTCTGATTAACTTCAAAGCTCTTGCTCTTTCTGCAACCTGAAGCTGTCTTCAGAAACCCCTCACGTACTATGCGCATTCCTTACCATATCCCCCCATTGCTTTGCCCTCAGGAAAATACCATTTGTGAGATCAATCCAAGTTATTATGGGCAGTAATATCACTCCCATCGCTGTGTCATATTCCATTATGAGGGTACACCTCTGGGATAATGGCATTTCAATGGTAGTAAATCCATCTCTAACCATCCCATCCCACCCCAGCCTTATTTCTGTTGGTGACCTGAGCCTGGCCAAAGTCAGAACCCTCTCACAATACATCCTCCCCTCCATTCCCTTTTGGTCCTTGAAAAGGACCTGCAGCTTCTGTAGTCAGTTACCCAGACCTGCATTCAAATCTTAATTCCACCAAATTGGACAATACTTTGACCTCTCTGACCCTCTATTTTAGCAATTCTCAACCTTGATTGTATGGAAAGATAGCTGAAATGCTGAGATTGACCCTTCTTTCGATTCTAACTCTGTGATCAAAGAGATTGCCAAATTTCTCTGATCTTTCAAAGGACTGTTCTTCACTAGGATTAATTAACTCAATTTCAGCTTTTTTATTATATTAATAATACTAACATTAGCAATAATAAGGAACTTAGCACTTTAAAAGAAAGGCGTTATGAGCTCCTGTCTCAGTTTGGGTTTTCCAAAAGTAGACCCTGAGATGAGACTTGGGTGCTAACAATTTGATTCCAGGAAATACAAGTGGGGAAGTGGAGATGTGAGACAGGGAAGAGGAATAAAAGCCAATAAAGAGTACATTGATGAGCAACTAGTTGTCCACTGTTGGCAACTAGGCTCAGTCCCACTGGGGACACTGAGTTGTCTCACTGAAGAATGGAGAAGTTAGGGTATATTTATTCACCACCTTCTGTCAGTCTCTGGTAAAGGATTGTCCCTGAGAAATTAAATCCCTGTCACTAGTAGGCTGTCCTGAGCAAACTCCCACAGAACATGGAAAAGCTCCAGGAGAGATGCTGGGACATGCTGATACCTGAGGTAAGAAGCAGTCAGGGTACATGGGAGCCGCAGCTGAAGAGGAACTTGGAGGTGACTTAGGAGAAATGGGAAAGGCATCAACATATCTGCCACATTCCCTTTCCCCACAGAAGGTTCAGAGAGAATAGGTAACTTACTCATGCTCATACAACTCAGGTCAGAATAACCCAGGTCTGTCTGATTAACCTCAAAGCTCTTGCTCTTTCTGCAACCTGAAGCTGTCTTCAGAAACCCCTCATGTAATATGCGCATTCCTTACCATATCCCCTCATTGCTTTGCCCTCAGGAAAATACCATCTACTGGCAAGTTGGTGCTGACCCTCACCACCGATGCGTGTGAAGGGAAGGAAAATTTCGTCCGCTACCTTGAGCATGTCCAAGCTGTCATCACAGTCAATGCAACCAGGAGAGGAGACCTGAACATCAACATGACTTCCCCTATGGGCACCAAGTCCATTTTGCTAAGCCGGCGTCCAAGGGATGATGACTCCAAGGTGGGCTTTGACAAGTGGCCTTTCATGACCACCCACACTTGGGGGGAAGACGCCCGAGGAACCTGGACCCTGGAGCTGGGGTTTGTGGGGAGCGCACCTCAGAAGGGGGTGTTGAAGGAGTGGACCCTGATGCTGCATGGCACGCAGAGTGCCCCTTACATTGACCAGGTCGTGAGGGATTACCAGTCCAAGCTGGCCATGTCCAAGAAGGAGGAGCTAGAGGAAGAGCTGGATGAAGCTGTGGAGAGAAGCCTGAAAAGCATCCTGCACAAGAACTAGTGCTGCACCTTGGCTCCGGCGCCTCCCTCCCTCTCCTATCTCTGCCTCTCTGTCCTTGCTCCATTCTTTGTCAGACAGGCACCTAGCAATTCCAACTTCTTGATCTGAAGCTTCGTTCACTGTCAATGATTATTTTCTTTACAATGGAAATAATCTTTTTTATTCTATGCCCCAAATACAGTGTTCCCACCAACATCTACCTTCTATTTGTGACTCTAGGTTCTTTATTTGTGTCACTCAAATAGGTGATATCGTGCAAAGGAAAACTTGGACAACTTTCCCCTCAATTTTTTTCAGATCTGAGAAGAGAAGAGAATGCATGTCAAAAGATGCACACAGTGACTCCTAGAATGTCTTATTCATGGTCTCAACTGACCTGTTAGATAAAAAAAAAAAAAAGAACTGAGCACGATTTTTCAATGACGTAGTTGAAGGTGGCATGATTTGAAAGATGCCATCCATGAGAACTCTAATTACTGGAGGGGGAAGAGTAAAACAGCATGGGCATTGGAAATCTTACCACCAATACCAACACCATAACTTTTCCTACTCAGCCAGCATGACAAATATAAAACCTAAGTAGAGTGGCTGTCCTTTCACCAGCTATTGCTCTGAGTTACGGTAAAATATTCTAGAGAAGTCCAAATTACTCTCAGTTTGCACAGAATTCATTTCAGCCACAACTTTCTGGGGTTTCTCACATAACTATCCAAAAGGGGAAAATGCAAGGCAGGTCTGGCAACACACCATAGTAGTTTTTAACCCAGGAACATTCCTTTTCCTAATTCATTTGGGAACTTCTTAATCTGATGGAAGCAAGAGGCCAGGTGAGTATTTTTCACAGCTTTGCACGTATGAACTTGGGCTTTGAGTTCCAAAACATGTGTTTGGCAGACAATATCCTACTCCTTCACGTTGTGATTTCTTTGATGTGTTAGGGCAATGGCCTCTGTTCAGGCACAGGTGTATGGAGGGTGACGTGGGCATGTCTGAAGATGTGAGCAGCCATCTTCACATGGACCTTCATTTGTATGGAGCCTTTTCTGCCAAAGTGGGGAATACCAACTCATCCCCTGCAACTTGAGCCTGAAGGAAGCAAGAGAAGCCCTTAGTAGGGAAAGCACAGGTACCATCTTGGCAACTAAGCAGTCAGTCCATGATGGTGTTTAACAGGTCATCTAAAGCTGATACATTCTTCTCCCATGTCTACCCCAAAAGACACCACCCCATTTCATTACCAAGTAGACATGCTTTCTGGCCTGTTTTCCTACTCAAGGATGGACTCCTCATCCCCAATCCCAATGCCCACACATTCCCAAGAAATGACTCATTTGTTTGAGTTGATTCCCAAGAACTGATCAACTACTCTGGCTACATTTCTCCCTTCCCCTGGGAGTAGGTAGCTAAGCCTGGAGTTCCCTTCCTCAAACACCAGAGCACCAGTTTCCATTCCCTGAAGGTTACAACTTTAAGAAAGAAGTCTGGAAAACCCATTTTCTTTCTTTTTTCCCCATGTTGGCATGAATTTGTCTTCTCTAACACCATATGACCTTCTCTATTTAATGCTTTAAAATGTAACAAAATTTATGATTTTTAAAAGAAATTTATTACTTATTGCGAAGGTCTTTTTAAACCAGTTTAGATTTTAAGAAAAAAATAAATGGAATCATCAAAAATTCATTTCCCATTAACTGTCTGAAAATAAACCAAAGGACATTATGTGTGTATAAGTGCACACAGAAATATATATATACATATGTAGACTATACACATGTGTATATATGTATATATATATACATTTGTATAAATGTATATACACACATGTACCTAAAATGTGTGTATGCATATTTATTGGAGAAATAGACACCATGTTCATCTTTAAAAGAATATTCAGAGAATATCAAGGTGATACTGGCTGAAGAGAAAAGCCAGTGGAAATTCAGGTGAAAATGTTCATTGATTCCCATTGCATCACCTCTGTAATTTTGCAGCTCTCTGTATAAACATTAAATGTCTTATATGGCAGCAAAAATATAAAATAGTGTCCATATTTTCACAGTTGTGGTATAATTTATGAAATTAGAGAGTAACTTATCAGCTTCTTAATAAAAATGGCAAGTTTTGATATGAGTATACAGTATATAAAAATATATAGTGCTATATAAAAATATTTTGTCTCTATTTCATTTTTTTGCACCAGCATTAACACTAAAATATGTCTAGCTAGTGAAGTTTTTATGATACCCCTGATCCTAATGGAAGAGACATTTAGTCATTTATTTTTTTTAAATGAAAATAAGTAAATCATGATTAATCAGGATAACATTGTTGCTCCCTATTACAAAATGTTCTAAACAAATTTAAAAAGCCATGTAAATTAGGAAACTTCACAAGAAAACAATATTTTCCAGAAATTGTGGGATGTGATATGCATTACATAAAAACACTGCCAGCCATTCTAGAAGCAGGTAATAAAATGTTGCCAAAGAGAGATCTAAAAAGCCTGCTTTCATTAATATACATGAAAGATTTATAATTAGCAAATCAATCCTACACAAATAAATCAAACACCTACAGCAGCATTTTTAATACAGTACTCAGGTTATATCCCAGTAGCTGGCCATAAAGTAAATTTAGGAAGACAAGACTACCATTTTGTAATAGAGTAAAATAGACCATGCATATTAATGATAAGCATTGTTTTCTGAAATGTATTTTTCAGGGATGTGTGCATGTGTCTAAGTGTGTGAAGTGGCTCACAATATAAAATGCATTTCTCATTGTGGGTCATGGGTCATGGTCAAGATCTATTCTAGAATATATTCATCAGGCCAAACTACGTTGTACTGTAGTAACGAACAGCCCAAGAATCTCGGTGGTTTGACACAATGAAGCTTTATTTTTTATTTACACAAATCCTACTTAGGATTCAGTGACTCTCCAACGCCATAGATTCCCATGCAGTGGCTCAGAGATTCAGGCTGCTTCAATCTTCAATCTTATGGTTTGCAATCATAACACAGGTGGCTATAATCCATGCAGAAGAGAACTTGTGGAGGACTCTTACCCACTTTTTTATGTTCAGCCTGACGGAGACACACAGGTCACTTCAGCTACAGAGCACCGGCCAGTACTGGTCACTAACCCTGCCTAAATGTAAGCACCTGGGACAAGTAACAGATGGTTGATAAGTATTAGAGACTCTCCCACAAAAAGAGCTTAACGTGCCCTTAAAACATATTCTTAAGTACTGATTTACATGGCAACCCCTCTGCGTGGATTGTACCATGAACAGTATTATAAACTAACTGTAGTCATGTGACCACATGCTATTCTGGCAAATCTTAATAGTCGATAAAGTGTTAATATATTTATATTTCATTGTAAAAAACAATTTTCAAATGTGTCCTATGATATAATACTTACCATACCCAATTAGCAAAATCTTAAGAGAGCCTATGGCTAAAAGCAGACATTGAAAGGTGTTACAGTCCAAAGTCCAATCTTGTGACAAACTCCTTTTCAATGCCTAAGTTCAAAGATTGATTTCTAAAAGATTAAGTTAACAAACATAATTCTTATAGAGTTACCACTACATGTTATTGTTACTGTCACATAAATTAATAGCAGTGGTTTTCGTGTGATCTATGCCTTCATTAGTTGGAGTGATCACATGAAAACCACACACTACAAAACCTTTAGGAAACATAGGCAAGAATTTTAAATTTTGAGAGAAAAATGCTAAATTAAGGGAACTGGTACCCTCACAGCCAACGTTAAGTTCTTGGATACAAAAAGTTTAATTTGATAGAAATTTCTAAAAATCGAAAAACCAAGAATAGAAACAGAGTTTGGGGGAGAAAATAAGAGGTTCTAAAAATTCTGGGAGTTTGAAGTAACATCAGCACAGAATGTGTCCTGGGCCAGCGAAGGTGATTTGATTGTAGCCAGCTGGGTGGTTCCCTATCAACAAAAGGGGTGCTAGGAGGAGCCTGCTCTCAGCTCATGGGAGTTAGGAAAATGGAGAGCCAGGGGTGAATGCAGGCAGACAGTATCCGGCGTTGTTCGGCCGTAGGGAAACAGAGACTGGTGTAAAGGGGAATTCCAGTCTCTGAAGAGCTGAAGTCTGTTGAGAAGAGAACCCAATACCCTGGGGAAGCCATCCCCAGACAGTGCCTTGAAGCACCATTCTCCTGCCAATGGTCTAATTCTATGCCCACCCACGGCCTCCTGATGCTTTATTTGGCCTCCCAAGGATGGTAACACCAGGAGAGGAGTAATTAGCATAAGAGGTACTAGCATGGCATCTCCAGGAAAGATGGCCCCTCTCTTAGCATTGCAAATTAATCAACTTAGTACTTGAGTTCTTTCAATAGTCACTTGTGCATTTCATTGCCAAGAATCCCTTCCCTTGGGTTCAAAAAAATGTGATGGAATTTGGTTTTGGATTTACAAGGGACCAGGAATCGAGGTCTGATCTGAGGCAAGTTTTCCAAGCCAGCTTGTCAGCTTCATTTTTCTCTTTAAAACTTAGAAGAGACTACAGGTGTGTGCACCTGGGAACAGAATGAACTGACCATAAGAAATGCAATTGGCCCAAAGATGAAGACTCTGTCTTTCTAAATTCCTAATGTTCAGTCCTGCATGGTTTGGGGTGGAATGGGGACAATTAGAGATTTCAGTTCACAGAGTTTGAGATGCCAGAACAGCCAAATGAGGCTGGGAATTCCCTAGGTCTAATGTTAACCATCACCTATTTCCACCACGGAGGCTTCAGGCCAACCCATCCTTACCATCCCAGGGTGGGTTGTCCCATCTCATAGGGACACTCAAAGATGTCCCTCTACACCGAAGAGGACACCCAATGGGCTGCCCCAAGCTGGACAAAAGGCAGACACTGTAACCTGTTTTTTTTTCTCTTTTGGCCCCAGTCCTGGAACCACTGACCAACCACAGGTGACAGATAAGCCACCTGGTAAGCTCCTGGTCATAAGGACACAAGCATGTAGATCAGTGATGGCGAACCTTTTGAGCTCGGTGTGTCAGCATTTTGAAAAACCCTAACTTAACTCTGGTGTCATGTCACATATAGAAATTTTTTGATATTTTCAACCATAGTAAAACAAAGACTTATATTTTTGATATTTATTTTATATATTTAAATGCCATTTAACAAAGAAAAATCAACCAAAAAAATGAGTTCGCCTGTACCTCTGACAAGCGTGTCAAAGGTTCGCCATCACTGATGTAGATAAAGGGGCAGTTGTGACTAGTAATTGCAGCAGCACAGTGAAGTTATTGGCCAAGGATATACCTTCTTGGAAAATATACATCTCATTTCAAAAGCCCTATTTCTTTTAATAAAACTTAAGTCAATTTGGGGTTTGTGGCATCTATTTGCTTTTCTCCAAGCATGAGAAGTTGGAGTCAAGCATTTACACTAATCAAGGCATCTGAATGATGTCCTTCATTATCAACGCGCCAAGTGCCATATGAGTTTGAAGCGACTTCATTCACCAGCAACATCCCAACTACAAACCTATGATACAACAATTTTAGGAGAAACCTCAGTGGAATTTCGCAACATGAAAGAGGAAAGAAAGAAGAGATGCCAGGTTAGCAGTGTCTCCTGCTATGTAACCTGAATTTTGCATTAGACCCTGCTGGTGCATGCCCTATATCAGGGGTCAGCAAACTACAGCCCAGGGACCCAACCCAGCACGCTGCCTGCTTTGGGAATTAGTTTTATTGGAAATAACCATGCCTATTTTTTATTGACTGTGGCTGTTTCCACGCTACAATGGCAGAGTTGAGTAGTTATAACGGAGGCTGTACAGCCTGTAATTGGGCCTTTTATAGAAAATGTTTGCCAACCTCTGCCCTCTAGCTATCTCCTCGGCCCACCCCAGAGGTCACCTATAAACAGTTTTGTACATGCCAAGGAGCTCTCTCCCTACCAGGTGTTCTCTGGCTGCAGAGATGCGCCAGACCTGGTGTGCTATAGGCAGAAGTGCCAGGGGATCAATGCCCCAGGGCCACCTCACCTGAGGAAGGGAGGGAGCTGGTGCAGAAAGATCCCAGCTTCCTGGCCTCCCGTTGAGGCCATTTGAAGATGTGCTACCTGGTCTCTTCAGTCCCCAGGGGGGATGGAACCCCAGTTGCCCACAGCGGTGGCAGCAGGTTAATGCTGCCTGTGTTGGCGCCTCCCTTTGCTGTCTCATGCTCCTTCTTGGGAGACAAAAACTCCAGCAGTGATGTTAACAGAGAGAACTGAATATAAAGCACCCTCAACTGAGTCATATAAAGAAATATTAACTGCTTAATTAGGAAGGCAAAAGAGAATTCAACTATCACAGGGACCATGCAATCTAACACAGGCAGGAGCCAGGGGCTTGCTGGGGAGTGGCACCACGCGCCTGACTCGCCCTCCCTGCCCATGGGTGCAGAGTGAGTGCACATGGCAGGCCCCTGGAAGACCCAGACCTCTGTGGAGGGACTCAACTGGCTGGTGATCATCGGAGGAGGTGATCATGGTTCTGCAAATGTTGGAAAAACTGAAAACTGAATCCAGCTGCTGCTGCAGGAAGTGCTGCTTCCGCCAGGGTGATGAAGTGCTCCTGGGGCGATGGGGACAAGCAGGATGGAGCAGGTCCCTTCTCCCTCTTGGTGAGAAATCGAACTCGAGACCCTTTGGTGGGAGGGCCAATGCTCTAACCCTTTGGTGGGAGGGCGAATGCTCTATACACCGGCCAGGCATCCATTTTTTATTATCAATTGAATATAAAAATGACCTTTCTTCCCAAAAAGATACCCTTGCCTTTTAAAATAAGAATATTAACTGAACACTTAGTCCAAAAAAAATAAAAAGACTTCATGGGGAAAACAAAAAGGTTTGCAGTGGTTTATGCTACATAAAACCTATATACTGGCCCAAATTCCTAGTACATTCTGGGCACTAGCTAATGTTTTCCATCATTCTCTCTTAAGCTTTTAAATCATAAATATTTTTAAACTGTGCAATGGAGTAGGTTCTCCATTCATCTTTTAGAAAGAAAAACACAAAAGCACTTTTCTTTATTGAAATCTGACTCCATTTAATATTCTTTCTATTATCCATAACAAGGAAATAAGAGAATGTAACTTATGACTCCATCAATTTTCTTGGGTGTGTGGTTGTCTTGCAAGATGCTTTTGTTCAGGCAGATGCGCTAATCTGTGTGAGCATGTTTACTCTGTATTTTGTATTTTGGAGGACCTACACAGGGAAGGGGTACTTTCTTAATCAGTACAAATAAAAAATCACTTTGGGACTGTTAGTAGAAAAATAGATGCCTAGAGGCAACATAAAAATTTCTGTAAAGTTTCTAGTTTAAAGTAGGTACCTGTGTATCCATGTGCATGTATGTGTGCATGTGTGCACAAGATAATGCACACACAGGTATGTTACAGCTTATTATACTACAGTGACTATTAATAAATCTGCAAGCCTCCCCTTGTCAGCATAACACACTGTTCTGGCACATAGTACACACTCAATAAACGCTTGTTGGACGAATTAACTCCTAAACAAGAAACTATGAGGTGACATTTGATTTGGCTTTTTGAAACCTGACTTATGGCAGACGGCATTGGTGTCCCACTTATATCCCCATGACCTTTACCATTTCCATGTACTTCCATGTTAATGCCCCAGGAGCAGCCCTCCCCACTGGTTGACAGGAGGTGGTGGATGAAAACCCTGCTCCCTCACCCCTAAGACAGGATAACTCTGTGGCACATGTTCTAGTCCAATGGTTCTCAACCTTCCGGCCCTTTAAATACAGTTCCTCATGTTGTGACCCAACCATAAAATTATTTTCGTTGCTACTTCATAACGGTAATGTTGCTACTGTTATGAATCATAATGTAAATATCTGATATGCAGGATGGTCTTAGGCGACCCCTGTGAAAGGGTCGTTCGACTGCCAAAGGGGTCGCGACCCCACAGGTTGAGAACCGCTGTTCTAGTCCATTTCCCAGAGTCCCTCAGGGTGGTGGGGAGGAGGAATTGAGCTCCAGCTGCCCACAGTGCTAACCTGCCTGGCAGCACACCTCTTACTGGCTGCCTCTTTGCCTGTCTCTCTCCCCACTGCCCTACTGGCGCTTCCTGAGATCACATCCCTAAGACACTACATTCAGCCGTGGCCGACATGGCTTGGTTGGTTGGAACGTCAGCCCATAAACCAAAAGGTGGTGGGTTTGATTCCTGGTCAGGGCACATACCCAGGCTGCAGGTTCGGTCCCCAGTCAGGGTAGGTGTAGAGGCAACCAATGGATGTTTCTTTTTTTTTTTTTTTTTTTTTTTTTTTTTTTTTTTTTTTTAAATATATTTTATTGATTTTTTACAGAGAGGAAGGGAGAGAGATAGAGAGTCAGAAACGTCGATGAGAGAGAAACATCGATCAGCTGCCTCCTGCACATCTCCCACTGGGGATATGTCCGCAACCCAGGTACATGCCCTTGACCGGAATCGAACCTGGGACCCTTCAGTCCGCAGGCCGACGCTCCATCCACTGAGCCAAACCGGTTTCGGCGGATGTTTCTTTCTCACATCAATGTTTCTCTTTCTCTCTTTCTCTCTCTCTAAAAAATAATCAATTAAAAAATTTTAATTATTAAAAAAAGAAGAAGAAGAAAGAAAGAAACTACATTTAGAGCCTTGCTTTGGGATCAGCTTCTGGGGGAACCCAAACTAAGGCAGATACCTTTAATCATTTTATCTAACAAAACACTCCTCCATGTGAGCTTGTGCTTGTGCTTGAAATGCAATGGAAATGAGCCAAGGCCATCAACCAGCATTTCCTGTGTGAAATCTGGACACTCTACCGGTCTCAAAGCACCACTACGAAGGGCATGTCTCTCTCCTAAACAACCACGGTTTGGTGGCCATTTAATAGAGTGTGTCCTCCGTGTGGCTGAGGAACCTACATTCCCAAGGCCCCTGTTAATTAGACAAACAAGGTGCAAGCAAAACAAACCTTTTTAATTAGGCTTCCTTGGCAATGCCAGACAGGCCAACTAAGGTCTAATCCAAACAGGAACCCCTACTCTTTATCATTTGTTCTACCCATCAAAGCACAGCCTGACAGTGGCCCCAGGGCATTCCTCCAGAGCCTAGAGGTTGTGAGAGCCCTTGTCTCCCAGTTTCTTCTTGTTTGCCTTTGTCTTTCCAATCACAGTCTCCACAATAACAGCGGTTTCTTCATACGTCTGAATGCTCTCAGCTGAAAACTTCTCCATGGATTCCATCACTTCTACCCTCTCATAAGCCAAAGCCCGGGGAGAGCTCCTCTCCTTCAGGCTGCCACTCCTCTCCCCCTGCCCCTCAGCTCCACCCTGACTGGCCCCAGGCCTTTGGGGCGGGGGTGCAGCCGGTCCCTGTGGACCAGGTGTGACCACGAGACAGGGCCTCTTGGGGCCTTCATCCTCCTTCTGGCCATCCTGCCTCTCCCCCGGACCTTTCAGTTCTTCGGTGTCTCCCTCATCCTCCTTGCCTGCAGTATGCTGGCTGGGTGGGTGTTCACCTTCCCTCACCTGCGGATACCCCCGTTCATTCTCCCGAGGGGGTGGGGGCTGCTCAGGAGAGGGCTCCATAGCACGATCCAGATGCAGAGAGCCGTCCTCAGTGGAAACAACCACTCCACCCCTGGCTGGGATAGACACAGAACAGAACCCAGGGTCCACGTAACTGGCATCCCCGGAGACCAGCACGTACCGCCCTTTGGGGTAGAGGTCAACTGGGGGCTCAGGCTCCTCGGGGCTTCTCACTTTCTCCTTGACCATCTTGCAGAGTTTTCCAAAGGCTTTGCTTATCTGCCCTCCATCAGGCATGTCCTCTGGACCTCCTTCTAGGGTTGGGGGACTAGCTTCCTCACCCCCCGACTCAAGCTTAGATTCCCCTTCTTCTTTAACTACCACCTGTACCACCTTTGTGTCTTCCGGGCCTTTCAGTGGTGTGTCTTCCAAATTTTCATCTCCTCTGTCTTTAGCTATAATCTCCTTTTTCCTTGGAATGGTCTTAGGGAGGCCTTTTTGTCTTGGTTTTGCTGTTGTTATATCCTGCACAGCTCTGGCAAAATCTTAAAAATAAAATTAAAAAGTAAATGGGCAACAAATCAAATATAACTGTCAATGAAAGAGGAAGAAAATGCATTCACTGAAAATTATGCTATCTGTTTTAGAGACCAATGCCTAGCACTGGGGTGGGTTTACTATTTATGGGGCAAAGCAATGGGGAAAGAGGTCTAGATCTGCAGCATCCAAGGCCCATGTTAAGGACCCTCCAATGGTACAACTTTATACAAGTCACTTGACCCCTCCGGGCTTGCAGAGGGAAGACACTGCTATTCTGACTCTCACAGTTCCCATCCCACTGGGTACAACTGAATGAGATGCACAATTCTATTGCAATAACACTTGATAGGAGCAACACCTCCTGTCCCACCTGCTGAGCTCATAGCAGCTACTTGGATCCATAGACTAGATGAAGGAAATTCATTCCACAAAGTCATTCCCACCTTGGACTTCCCCAAAGGAGAGTGGGCAGCGCTGCTTGGGCCTCTGACATGGGCAGAGTGGCTTCAGGCATGGGAATCGTATGACTCCACAAGGTTGCTCCCTTGTTGCACATGCATCCCAAGCTAAATAAACATGACCACCCTTTGATCAGCATCTCCTTCCTGCTGGGTAGAGGGGAAGCAATGCTATTAAACTCAGAACTCACAGGAATCCCCTGTTCCCGAGGCCATATTTATTTCTTCAGACTAGCTAAAAGGAAAAACTAAAACTTTAAGAAAACACACAAAATATAACTCTGCCTCATCCATGAGGCTTTTCTGCTTCACTCGCATGGTGATTTTTTTAACCTTTTCATCCCAAAGGACTTTTGCATCCCCTCCCTCTGTTAACCAGAGGGCTAAGCAAGGGCATCTAGCATGAATCACGGTGAAAGAGCAGAGTGCCAGGAAAGGCTATGGAGCCATAGGAAGGAGGGGAGGCAGAGAGGGGCACGTCAAAGGAACCCAGTGGGGAGCAGATATGTAAGAAGGGGGTGCTTGCAGAACCAGTTACAAGCACCCAGTTTCAGAGCCCAGTACAAAAGAAAACGGCAGTTCCCCCTGTGCAAAATGATTAAGAATGTAGAGCCCTACTGGTTTGGCTCAATGGATAGAGCGTCAGCCAGAGGAAGGGTCCTGGTTTGACTCTGGTCAAGGGCACGTACCTCAGTTGTAGTTGGGAAGCAACCAATCGATGTGTCTCTCTCACGTCAATGTTTCTCTCTCTGCCTCTTCCCCTCCCTTCTACTGTCCCTAAAAATCAATGAAAAAATATCCTTGGGTGAGAAAAAAAAAGAACAAATAGAAAAACAATGTCAAGACACTGATAGCAGAGCATAAGCGCTGGGTCCCTCGTGCACGGACCACAGCCCTGGGGCTGGCCCTGGGCGTTTGGCGACTGGGACCTGCTGCCCCTTCCAACAGTGTTCTGACCCCAAAACCCCATTTCCACAAACCCCTCTAAGCTGTCTAAGACACGGGGATTTGAAGGGGATGCGACATTACCATCTTCTCTTCTCCCAAAACTCTGTTTGCTTGTCCAGGACGGGGGAGGGTTAGCTGAGAGGTGACCTCTCACCGGTGCAAGAAACCTTCCCCAAAGGACCGAATGTTGAAGGCAGAAGCCATGCTTTCCAGCCAATCTACTTCTTCTCAGTTGTGAAGATAAGATAAAATGAGCAATAATTGAGCATGTTCTCTGCTCCAGACACTTTTGTATAGAATAGTTCATTTAATTGGGGCGGGGGGGGGGGTGCAATTCAATACTCAGAATATTGAATTGTATCCCCCCATTAAATATGTCTCCAAAGTGGTCTATCCCCCAGTCTGATTTTTCTCCTGTGACCTTTCTGGCTCAGTCCCTTAGCATCTGTGGGAGTGCATCAGAGACCTCCCCTAAAAGAGTTTAATTTCCTGATAGATTGCAAAGAAGTGTGAATGTTAAGTTCAACAATAAAGCCACTTAATTTTTTCCATTTTTTTGAGGGCAGAAAACAGCAGAAGTCAGGGTTGGGGAGCATTACCTTTCCTGCTGGGTCGAGGGCTGAGAGAGGCTCCATGGCCAGTGGGGAATAGAGTGACAGGCACTTCAAAGAGGGTGGAGCTCAGCCTGGCAGAAAGACCAGAAAGAGGTAGTCACCATCTCTAATTCATCAAGCCACACAGATGGTCAGGGGGTAAAAGTGACCCACTAATTATGAGCAAAAACAACAAAAGCATTCCCTAGACCAAACTTCTCATGAACCTCATAAACATTGGCACACTGGATGAGAATGTAAAGGAAATAATCATTGCTTTGAGCTCAAGTCACAAACTGTGAAACACACAGAAGCACTGTAAAGAGGAAATTGCTTATAATCTCACAATGCCACTACTATGTTGAACAGGGGATTTTTTTGTTGTTGTTTTGGGGGTTTTTTGTTAATATATTTTTATTGATTTGAGAGAGGAAGAAAGAGGGAGAGATAGAAACACCAATGACGAGAGAGAATCGTAGATTGGCTGTCTCCTGCATGCCTCACACTGGGGATCGAGCCCACAATCCAGGCACGTGCCCTGTCAGGGAATTGAACCATGATGTCCTGCTTCATAAGTCGATGCTCAATCACTGAGCCATGCCAGCTGGGAAGTTGTTGTTTTGTTTTTTAATAAAACAATGCCCATCCCAGGCTGAAGTATTTAGGGTAACCAGGGCTTAATATCTCCAATTTGTTATTTTTAAAATAATATGAAATACATACATATATATATATATATATATATATAGAGAGAGAGAGAGAGAGAGAGAGAGAGAGAGAGAGAGAGAGAAAGAGAGAGAGAGAGAAAGCAGTTGAGACAAAACATAACCAACTGGTGAATCCGCGTAAAAAGCACTCGGGAGTTGCTTGTTCAATGCTTATAACATTTCTATCAATTTGAAATTAGTATATTAAGACTTATTTTCATAAATATGTGCATAAAACGTTCACTGTGACATAAATATGATTTGGAATTATGCATGATACATTGACCGTAACGAGAGGAAAATTTCTTACTTTCCCTGTTAAACACTCAAGTAATTGCTGCTAAGACAGAGCACCCAGAGAAAAGAAAGAACTGCTCTTTGTGGGATACTTCTGGGCGCTTCTATTTTAATTCAATCTAAACCTCAAATAGCAGCAAGAATGAATCAAAGAATCACAGCTAAATAGAGAATCAGAATCCTTATATGAAGCAGTGGTCTCCAATCTGCTTTCTGATGATACAATTTGATATGAATATCCATACAGCCATAGATGTAGATGTAGCTGTAGATAAAGATACAGATAACATAGATGTAGGGGTAAGTTAGGAGTGGGTAGAGATGATATTGATGTAGTTGTAAGTGTAAGTATAGATGTATATAATATAAATATAGGTATGGATATAGATGATATACCAGTAAATGTAGATGTAGGTATAAGTATAGACTTAGATGGTGTGATTGTAGATGATATAGATAATACAGGTAATACAGATGTAGATAATGTAGTGTGTAGTTGTAGATAAAATAAATGTAGGTATAAGTATAGATGATATATACTATATGTAGATTGTGCACATGTAAGTTTAAGTGTAGGCATAGATATAGATGATATAGGTAGAGATGTAGATGATGTAGGTAATGTAGATGTAGGCGTAGATGTGCACATACATGTAGATGGTGTAGACACAGATGTAAATGTAGATGTAGGTTTAAGTGTGGACATAGATGATGTAGAATAGAAGATGTAAATTTAGGTCTAGGTAAAGGTGTAGATGTAGATGAGATAGAGACTGAGATTTATTTCCCAGCTTGAAGTGAGTGGTGTTCAAGTCACAGCTCCATTACAAACAAGACCAGCCAGGTGGTACAAATCATGCTGGCAGTAGCAGTAATAACACCAATAGCTCGAAGTACTTGTGGTACCAGGCACTGTGCTAGGAACCTCACCTGCAGCATCTCCTTAAATACTCCTGATCATTCCATCTGCTAAGACAGTTATGTCCCCAGAGGCCCGTGGAACAAAGAGTAGCCTTCTCCATGAGGCCTTTTCTGACTGCCCAACTCAAAATTTGAAGCATTCCCACCATCAGCCTCATCTCCATTCCCCTCTCCCCTGCTATAATCTTCTCCACAGCACTTGTCAGAGGTCATACTCCCTCTGTTACACAGTCATTCATCATCTGCCACCCCCACTAGGATTCAAGGCCCATGAGATCATGGATTTTTGTGTTTCACTCCCTGCCACCTGCCCACTGCCTAGAGCTGGCACACAGAATGCACTCAACAAGGATCTGTGGAATGAGTGAGTGAGCAGCATGGAGAGAGAGGCTCTCCCTCGCTGTCCCTCTGTGACCACACCTGCTGCCTTCGTTCTCAATGATCCGATGATAGCGGTGCAGCTCGTTCTTCAGGGCTTGCTGGGCGACCACCAGCTGCCGGCAGTCATAGGAAGACTTCTCCAGGCTCCTCTCAGTCTCTTCAATCTCCTTCCGCAGGGTTTCAATCTGTTCACTATAAAGCTGAATCTCGTCATCATAACACTCGTGGGCGTCTTTAATACCTTGTTCCAGGGTCGCTGTCTGTGGGCAAAGACACAGTTGTAAGGAAACCCATCCCATCCTCTCCCTTAAGACCCAGACTTGACAGGGAAAATCTGGACTCGGCGTGTCAAGTTTTGTTTATTTCTCATCAGCGATGGAATCATTTTGGAATCCTTAAGCCCAAGAGGAATGTGAAAACTGAGCTCCCTCTCCTCAGACCTGCACAGCACCCACTGAAGTCAGCCCTCAACATAGCCCCCCACCCCCGGGGGAGAGTGTTTCCTTGCTCTTATTTAATCACCAAGGATGCTTTAACTTTCCCCTGATTATATGTTTTGGTAGCCAAAATGTGTGTGCGTGTGTGCACGTGTGTTTGCACGTGTGTGCACATTCGTGTCTACATAAAATAACTTCAGGGAAATACTATTTACATATTAATTCAAGGGAAGTCAAAATTAAGGTGGGAAAATAGAAAAAGTGGCCTTATATTCACTTTTAGAGCTCCTGACAATGCACAAAGAGCCATTTACAAAACCAGAAACAGATTCAGTGGTTGCCAGCGGCAAGCAGGAGGTGGGGAAGGGGTTGACCACAGCTGAGGGAATTTTGGGTGAGGGAACTGTCCTAAATCTTCATTGTGGGAGGGTTACTGCATACACTTGTCAAACAGGCATACTGTGCACTGAAGATGGTGACATTATATGTAAAGATCACCTCAGCTTAAAAAATTAGGAGACCCTTGGAAACGTGATCCCTCACTGGACACTTAGTGATATTATAGGATTATTATTAATTTTAAAGGTGGGTTAATGGTCTTGCATTCTATAAAAATAACCTCCGCCTGCTGGAGAGGTATGTTGAGATATTGCTGGGTAAGATGACATGGTGTTGGGACTGCTTCAGAATTCCACCAGGGGGCATGGGCGGGAGGATGGAGACCTGGGGTCCTGAGACTGTCCTCTCACTTTTATCTGTTTGAGGTGTTCAGAACAAAGAGTAAAAGAAAAGACTGTGTATGAAGAGACCTATCGCCCCCTTTGGGTAGGGGTTCCCCAGCCTGGAGTGAGAGAGTAATGACTGTGTTGGTGAGTTCTAATGTGGATCAACTCATCAGCCTCACAACCTTAGGCTGTTGTTATTCCCACTTTACAGATGAAGAAACTGAGGCACACAGGCAGTGACTTGCCCACAGGTACCACAGCATGATTCAGACCCACCTGTGCAGGCTGAGACACTTTCAGAAACTAAGGACCCTGCTGCCTCAGCCTCCTCCCAGCTGTGGACGAACAGTGTGCACGCTCATGTGCGCGTATACACACACACACACACACACACACACACACACACACACTCCCAGGCCCAGGGAAAACTCCCCATTCCCACAGATGGACAGGCAAGTATCAGCCTACTCTTACAGAAGACACAAGACACAGGGGACTTGGTGTGAGCCCCATCAGCCCCGCCCCCACCCCCCAAGTGTGTTCTCACTAGGGAAATGTCATCTGTAATCTTTGGACTGCCAGGGCAAGCATGATCTTTCTTATATCTCATGAGTTGGTGGGTGGTTGGTGGCTGTCCTGTGGTAGAGTCTGTGGGAGGACCACCTACCTGCCCAGGGCAGGAGGCTCCGTGGATGAGTCGCAACCTATGACTGGCACTGGTGCTCCACGTGGTGCTGCCTGAGAAACCAAGATTCCAAAGTCCAGTGAAATGCTAACCAGGTTTATAAAACTGGACTTATATCCACATCTATGTGGCCCTTACAGCTCAATCATTTAAACTATTCATCAAAGGAGGGGTGTCCAGGAAAAATAATAAGAGGCCCGCCTTCACCAGCTCCAAGGAGGCTCACGCGATGTCTCTGGGTGAGCTACCTCAGCACAGGCGTAGGGCGCTGTCCAGCACCAGCCTGGCTGTCGGAGAACTAGACACAGACCCTCCATCTAGGAGCCCACAGTTCCGTGGGGAAGGCAGCCCGGTCACAAAGACATGCCCTGGGCACCACGGAGCACACAGAGAGGCCCTCTGGTGCTAACGGGTGTCAGAGAAGGCTTCCAGGGGCTAGTGGGATAGGTCCTGAAGAGAAAAAGGGACTTCCAAAAAGAGAAGTGATGAGCAAAGGGGCAGGTGTCAGGAGCCACAGGACCACAGGAGAAGAGAGAGCAGCCCACAGCCAGTCCAGGGCTTCTTGGAGGAAAGCAGCCAAGTGGACAGTGGAGAGAGGCAGGCGGAAGGTGTGTGCCATGCGGCTACTTGAACTTCCTGAGCTTGGCAGTAAAGGTTGAATGAAAGAGTAAGTGTTCAAGCACAGCTGTGGGTTTGCCTTTGCACAGCAGGGGTAGATAGGGACCCAGGACAGTGCCCCACAGTGAACCCCATCTGAAGGGTGACCTCCTGCTTCAGTCCTCTTAGGCCCCTAGACTCCTTTGGATCCAAGGTCTTTTTTAAAAAAGGAAATGGCTTTGGCCAGGTGGCTCAGTTAGGTGGAGCATCATCCCATGCACCAAAAGGTTGCGGGTTCAATTCCTGGGCAGGGCACGTACAGGGTGCAACTGACAGATGTTTCTCTCTCTTCCTTCCTCTATCTCTCTTTCTTTCTCTTCCTTCCTTTCTCTAAAAATCAATAAAATCATATCCTTGGTACAGATTTAAAAAAAAAGAAAGAAAGAAACAAGAAATCGAGTCTTTCACTGACTACACAGTCTTACCCAAACCTACCACCAGGTGGTGCTAAGTGACTTCGATGAGAATATCATAATTGTTGGTAGCTTTACACTTTCCAATACACTTTTTCACTTTCCTGTCACAGAAATTCTCAGTCAACGCAATTTAGGCAACCCCCTAAGAAGTGCCACCCCCAAAGGGATGGGTGCTGTGTCTCTCATCCTGTGGACTAGTGTCCTGGAACTTGAGCCTGTGAAAACGCCTGGAGGGCCTGTTGGAACAAAGCTTGCTGATTCGGTAGGTCCGGGATGGGTCCATGAGTGTGCAGGTCTGTCACGTTCCCAGGTGCTGCTGATGCTGCTGGTTCAGAGACCTTCCCTGTAGGCCCCTGCTACGGAGGGTTCTGGAAGTATCAGATGTCCTAAACACGGGCAGAAACAGCTGCCACAGCCCTGCCCAGCTGGAGCCCTCAGGCCACAAGGAGCTCTTCCTCCTCTATCCCCCACCAAGTCCCACAGTCATAGCTGGCCTCAGTTTAGCTACTACTTTATGCAGCCACTAAAACCTTTTAAAATCAGCAAAAAGCCAACCATCAACACCTCCTGAATAAGGCTGTGGAGGACCCAAGCCAGGCACTCAGGTGGACCAAATGTAGAACATTCTGACCCAACCTGGTACCCACCTTACCCCAGTGTGGTTCCTAGACTGGCAGCAGCACCTGGGAACCTAGAAATGCAAATTCTTGGGCCATACCTACTGAGTCAGAAACTCTTGGGTAGGCCCAGCCACATCTGTATCTTAATTAAAGCTAACTAAGCAAAATTCCAGTCCCCGTGGCCTTTGCCCCTTGGTGTTACACTCATGAATGTGTTCGTTACATGTTGACAGGGACTTTGCAGATATAATTAAGGTTCTTAATCAGTTGACCTTAAAAAATACAAAGATTATTCTAGTTATTTCTAATCACGTGAGACCTTAAAAGCAGACGTCAGAATAAGATGCACAAGAAAGATTCACAGCACCATGGCTGGCTTTGAACGTGGAGGGGGCCACAACCAAGGAATGCGGGTGGCCTCTAGAACAGTGATGGCGAACCTTTTGAGCTCGGCGTGTCAGCATTTTGAAAAACCCTAACTTAACTCTGGTGCCGTGTCACATATAGAAATTTTTTGATATTTGCAACCATAGTAAAACAAAGACTTATATTTTTGATATTTATTTTATATATTTAAATGCCATTTAACAAAGAAAAATCAACGCAAAAAAATGAGTTCGCCTGTCACCTCTGACACGCGTGTCATAGGTTCGCCATCACTGCTCTAGAACAACTTCTAGCCAACAGCCAGCAAAGAAACAGGGTCCTTGGCCCACAGGCACACAGAATTGAATTCTGCCAACACCTTGACTGACACTGGAAGCAATTCTCCCCCGGAGCCTCCAGATGAGGGTACCCAGGCAGGCCAACATCTTTATTTCAGCCTGTGAGACCCAGAACCAGCCTGCCCAGACTTGTGACCTCCAGGACTGTGAGATAAAGGAGTGCTGTTTGAGCCCCTGCATCTGTGGTAATTCACTGTGGCAGAAAGAGAAGACTAACACAACTTGTGTTTCATCAGACTTACTGCTATAGTTTGTTACAGTAGTCGCCCCCTGATCCGAGGGGGATATGACCCAGGACCCCTAGTGGATGCCTGAAACCGAAGATAGTACCGAACTGTCACCTTTTTCCAGTGAAAGGAAGCACTTTACAGCTTCTCTTTGGCATATACGAATTGCCAGCATCACTACTCTTGTGCTTTGGAGCCATTATTAAGTAAAAGAATGGTTACTTGAACACCGTGATACCACAACAGTGGATCTGATAACCCCAGATGACTACTAGATGACTAACAGGCAGAAAACTTATATAGTGTGGAGACGCTGTACAAAGAGATGATTCACACCCTGGGTGGGAGGGAGAGGGATGGCACAGGATTTCCTCATACTACTCAGAACAGCACTCAATTTAAAACTAACGGGTTGTTGATTTCTGGAATTTTCCATTTAATATTTTCAGACCACAGTTGACCGTAGATAACTGAAATCATGGAAAGTGAAACCACAGATAAGGGAGACTAGTGTATATAATATAAACACACATATTATTATATAGGATATGCTTTGGTAATATTTTGATAATTGTTTCAATATCATTGGTTTCCTCTTCATTATATGTACTTTATTGTATGTATATATATTTAACATTTTTCTGAGGGGGGGTCCATGGGCTTTTATTATATAGGATACACACACTTCTATATATACATATATATGTACATACTACATAAATGTACACATACACACACACAAAATACACACACACACACACACACACACACACACACACACACACACACCTGCCGTCTATCCTCTCAGGGCCTCAGAGGAAGCCAAACACTGCCAAGTTACCAAAGTGTGTGCCATGGAAACAGGACGGAGCTTTTCTGTTGAGTTTAGTTTTCAAAATAAGATTTAGCCCCCAAAAGTGGGGGTGGAATTGAGAGTTTTCCACTAAGAAATTCTGAGCGGGGCAAATACTCTTTCTCACGTTTGTACTCCAAAGGAGCATCTGCAGTCATGAGGAGAGAAACAGGAAGCACAGATTTGAGGAAGTGTAGAATAAAAATCCCAGCATGTGTCCACTTCTTCTTATTTTAAAAAACAATTTAAGTTTAAACTAGGCAACCCCGGGCACATAGGCGTGTTGAGTTTGTGAGAATCACTGAACTGGATACGTGTGCACTCCTCTGACACTGAATAAACGTGTTGTTAACCCTGGTTCACACAGGTGGCTGAATGCCCCACAGGAAGCAGTAGACAAGAGGACACAGGGCCTACCTGGGCCTGCAGCTCAGCTCTCTGTGCCTGCAGGAGAGACAGGACCTCCCGGCCCTCCTCCAGCTGACTCTGAAGGGCTGTCGCCTCTCGTTCCATCAGGAGCTTCTCCTGCACAAAGAAGGCCAGACTCAGCACTCACACACGCTTGGTGTACCAAGGAATCCAAAAAGGAAAGGGACAAGGAAGGCATGGGACCCCGTTATGTTCTGCATGTTTGTCCCCCCTCTTACAAATCCATATGCTGAAGCCCTAACCCCCCATGGGATGGCATCTGGAGGTGGGACCTTTGGGAGGTCATTATTTAAATGAGGTAATGAGGGTGAGGCCCCCAGGATGGAATTAGTGTCCTTATAGGAAAAGACACCAGAGCTCGCCCTCTCTTTGTGCCGCATCCTAAAAAGACAATGTGAGGACACGCAGGAGGGTGACATACGCAAGCCAGAAAGTGGGTTTGCACCAGGAACCACCCTGCCAGCACCATGATTTTGGACTTGAAGCCTCCAGGACTGTGAAAAATACATGCCTGTGGTTTGAGGCATCCAGTCTGTCTCCAACATCTGAGCCATTAATGCTGTGAGGGCAAGTAAAGTGCAGAGACAGTGTCGGGAGGCCTGTACTTTAGAGCCGGTTGTGCCACAAACTGGATAAGAGATTCTGGACAAGGCCTCTTCCCTTCTGTCTAAAGGAAAACTTGGAAGGCACTTTCTCATTGGGTTCTACTCTCTGTGTCTGTGCAGGCAGCCAGGTCAGTATGACCCCTGAGCCATCAACTCTGCTAAGACATCGCTGCTTCACAAAGCAGAGGTCAAGGGCACAAGGGAAGCCAGGGACATGGTGAGGCAGCTGCACCACCTATCAGTGCTCCACGGAACGTCCTGGAGATCTCACAACCTCTCCACTCTGCAGAGCAGGCACCCGTTTCCAACACGCCTCTCCACTGTGTATTGGAAAACATCCAAATCGCTTCACCAGAGCCTGGCTGGTCAAGAGCAGTGCCTTCTGACGCAGGGCATGTGGCCTCACAGCCAGGCAAAATCAGAAACAAGCATTTTCCCAGTGCACCCGTGTTCAAGGCCACAGGCTTAAGGCGGCCCCCTGCTCTCCAACACCCTGCAAAGTGGCTGGAGCAACCACACAGGCAGAGACAGCTAGAGCAAGATAGACATGCTTAAAGGGAGGAAAGGGAGGAAGTGAGAGTGTGGCCCTGTGGCCTGACCCCACGGGGAAGGCAGGACTTGAGATGTAACTGCACAAGAACCTTCCCCCGGTGTGCAGTTCTGTGTTTCTGGGTACATGAAGGAATGCATGCTCTCAGTGGCTCTCAGTTTGTTTGTCTCTGTCCTCTTTGTTTCTCTGTGTCTCAGTCCCCACCTCTCCACCTCAAAGATGCAGACAAGAGGGTGGCTGGGAGCAGAAGGGACCACGTGCCCATGTGTACCAGGAAATGGAGGATATATACCACACTGCGAACTCTAGACCTGCAGCCTCGGGATGGAGAGACTGCCTCCCTCCAGCACCCTGCCCGCTTGTCTGGCTCCACCTTCCTCATCTCACATCCCTCCCCACACCTGCCTACAGGGTGCCACTCACATAGTTGGCCCTTGGATACTTATTAAAGAGGAAGGAAGACAGCCCTGCAGCTGTCACTGGTAGCTGGCACTAACCGCCAGGCCGTGATGCTCCCTACATCCTATATTAAAAAAAGCCTAATATGCTAAGTGTCCAGTCGCCCATTCAACCAATCAAAGCATGATATTCTAATGATATGCTAAGGCAGCGGTTCTCAACCTGTGGGTCGCGACCCCTTTGGGGGTCGAACGACCCTTTCACAGGGGTAGCCTAAGACCATCGGAAAACACATATATAATTACATATTGTTTTGTGATTAATCACTATGCTTTAATTATGTTCAATTTGTAACAATGAAATTGGGGGTCACCACAACATGACGAACTATATTAAAGGGTCGCAGCATTAGGAAGGTTGAGAACCACTGTGCTAAGGCCACTCAACCGCTCGCTATGACGTGCACTGACCACCAGGGGGCAGACGCTCCAACCAGTAGGTTAGCTTGCTGCTGGGGTCCGGCTGATTGGGACTGAGACAGGCTGGACATGCCCTGGAGCCCTCCCGCGGTCTCTCCCCAGCTGGCCAACCTTCCGCATCCCTCCCCGGCCCCGATCGTGCACCAGTGGGGTCCCTCAGTGGATGTCGGAGAGCCTGTGCCCTCTCGAAATCTGGGGCCCCTCAGGGGATGTCAGAGAGCCGGGCTCGGCCCAATCTCGCAGGCCAGGCCAAGGGACCCCACTGGTGCACAAATCTGTGCATTGGGCCTCTAGTAAACTTATAAGCAATGCCACTCCCAATATCTAAAGATGTCACTCTGGGACGAGGGGGGAACCAGACAGAAACAAGACCCTCTGAAACTGTGCCTAAGCTCAGACCAAAAGACCTCTGTGCAACCATCCACTCTCCCTGATAACACAAGTGATGCAGCTGAATTGCCAGGTACAGCTTTAGCCACACTCTATTTCTCTGCCCCCTTGAGAGAAATGATCAAGATACTCAGCCACAGGACCAGCCCCTTATGAGAGCACCCAGCCCAGAGCAGGGCCCTGCCTACCTGACCCTCCCCCACAGATACCCTGCAAGTCTCCACCGTGTACACCCTCCCTTCCTGCAGTGAAAAATGAATCAGCTTTATGTGACTACAGATGTGAACCCAGTGGCCTCTGGTGAGAGGGCACTGATATGCTTACTGACATGTTAACCAGTTGACCTGTGTTCCTGTAATTAGCACTGCTAATTACACCCTCATTTGAGCAAATGTGGCAGACATGTTGTTTAAGACATTAACAAGAATCAATGAAACAAACCTGAAAGTGACTGTTTAACTCATCTGTAGAGCTTTTAAGCTAATAAAGAATGTGGTATCTGTGTTTCTCCATCTTTAACATGCACATGGATCCCTGGAGATCTTGCTAAAATGTAGATTTTTATGCAAATTCTGCATTTCTAACAAGTTCCTGGCGATGCTAATGATCCACTAATGATCATTGATGCTCTCAAAGTAAGTCCAGACAGTCTCTATAATCTTACAACTCAGAAGAATTCTGTTACAGGGAAAAGATGATATGATTTTAAAAGCATGCTATGGCCCAGCCGGTGTGGCTCAGCGGTTGAGCATTGACCTATGAACCAGAAGGTTACATTTTGATTCCCAGTCAGGGCACATGCCCAGGTTTCAAGCTCGATCCTCCAGTGTGGGGTGTGCAGGAGGCAGCTAGAGAGTTAAGTGGAGAAGGAATATGGAATATTATTGGGAATAATGTTTTACATCCAAATCCCCATTTTTTAAAAGTCATCTTCATTCATTTCTATCCTTTCCTAATAGTTTTTAAGCCACTAACTTGCAGAGTCGGATCTTGAAAATATAGTCACTAATTACCTGGGTCTCTCTGTATTCAAATTTTATTGTCAAATTCGTATGAGGAATAAGAAAACCCAATCTAAAAATGAGCAAAAGATTTGAGTAGATATTCCAACAAAGAAAATGTACAGATGGCAAATAAGGACGTGAAAAAATGTTCACCGTCATTAGTCCTTAGGTGAGGCAGGTAGAACCACAGTGAGATGCACAACATTCCTATTCGAAAAGCAACAAACAAAGGCAAATAAACACCTGACATGCCCAGTGCAGCCAAGATCCAAAGCAACACAAACTCCCAAACACTGCCAGTGAGGGCATTGGAAACAGTCTGCCAGTTTCTATAAACTATACAAGGAAGAACAGCCCATGATTTTCAAGAGAAAACTCCTAAGAAAACGGTCAGGGAAACAATTTATATCCTCAGATGTCTAAAGAGTAGCGTTCACAGTCTGAGAAGGAGAACAAGAGTAAACTTCACATGTGAACACAAAGCCGAGTGGCAGCTCCGCGCAGTCTGTCCGCCTGACACCTTTCCCCTCTCCGGGGGTGTGTGAGCTAGGCCCAAGGTGCTGTAACAAGGACCTCCAGATGCGCTTTCCTGCAGCCTGGGCCCCAGCTCTTACCTCCCTCGTCCCATCTGTAATGGCGGCTGCTTGAGGGGTGGTTTGGATGATCTGCTGCAGGAGGCTGGTGTAGGTCTGAATTTCCAGAAGATTCTGTCAGAGGAAAGATGGCATTCTCATTAAAACCTGAGCTGCCCGAGTTTCTCCCTCCAGGACCAGGTGACCCCGGGATGAAGGCTTCCTCATAGTCCACTGTCACAAAGAGCACAGGCCACAATCTTCACATCTCCAACCTTCACGGGATCAACAGGCCGATGGATAACAGGCTCGGTTTGCTTCATTCCCCATCAGCTACGTGCATGCTTTGCTGCTGTCTTCACAGGGCCCTGCAGACAGGGCTAAGGGGGGAAGCAGAGGGGGGCCAAGCCCCAGGGTACAAAGGGCCCTTTCTTTTTTTTTCTTTTTTTTAATATATTTTATTGATTTTTTTACAGAGAGGAAGGGAGAGAGATAGAGAGTTAGAAACATCGATGAGAGAGAAACATCAATCAGCTGCCTCCTGCACATTCCCTACTGGAGATGTGCCCGCAACCAAGGTACATGCCCTTGACCGGAATCGAACCCGGGACCTTTCAGTCCGCAGGGCGACGCTCTATCCACTGAGCCAAACCGGTTACGGCCAAAGGGCCCTTTCTGACCCCAGAGCCAGGCACTGCTTCAAAGGACAGAATTTGGTCGTGGGTTCCAGACAAAATCACTTGCTAGCTGCTTGTGGCCGCGGGCAAGCTCTTAATAGCTCCTAAAACTCAGGCTCTTCTATAAAAGTGGGATCACAATCTGAAGAGCACTGTGCCCAGCTCCGTGCGTGAGGACTGATGACACGTCTTACAGCTGTGCCCCCTCCAGGCAATGGTTATCTTGTCCAGGAAGTAGCTCAACTCCTCCCAATCCAGTCCCACCCAACCCAGGCCAGTGACTAGATGGCACAGGAGTAGAAAAAAACAGCCCTCTTACCTCAGGTGGGAACAGCCTAGTGGGGTGAGACTCATGACCCAGAGCCCCCAACCCAGCGGTGGGATCAGACTGAGGCTCCAGCTGAACCGGGGCCAGCCCAGTTCCCATCCCTATGCTCCTCTTCCTCCCTCCCTTTCTCCTAGGTGCTCTCCAGCCAAATAGCAATCACACAAAAATCACCACCTTAGGCCCTGACCAGTTTGGCTCAGTGGATAGAGCATCGGCCTGCAGACTGAAGGGTCCCGGGTTCAATTCCAGCCAAGGGCATGTCCCTTGGTTGCAGGCACATCCCCAGTCAGGGGTATGCAAGAGGCAGCTGATCGATGTTTCTCTCTCTCTCATCAGTGTTTCTAACTCTCTATCCCTCTCCCTTCCTCTCTGCAAAAAATCAATAAATATATATATTTTTTAAAATCACCACCTTAGGCTCTGCTGACAGGGAACCTGACCTAAGACACTATCTTAAGAGGCTGTTGTTGGGATCCAATGAGATAATGCACAGAAGTGTCATAGTGTGAGCACTCACCATTATTATTATTATTAGTAGTAGTAGTAGTAGTAGTAGTAGTAGTAGTAGTAGTAGTAGAAGGCCTGGTGCACAAAATTTGTGCACGGGGGGGGGGGGGGGGTCCCTCAGCCCAGCCTGCACCCTCTCGCAGTCCAGGAGCCCTAGGGGATGTCTGACTGGTGGAGCGGGCCTAAGCCATCACTTGGACATCCTTAGTGCTGCCACGGAGGCAGGAGAGACTCCTGCCACTGCCACTGCCACTGCACTCTCCAGCCATGAGCCCAGCTTCTGGCTGAGCAGTGCTCCCTCTGTGGGAGCGCACTGACCACCAAGGGGAAGCTCCTGCATTGAGCGTCCACCCCTGGTAGTCAGTGCGTGTCATAGCAACTAGTCGTTCCGCCGTGGGGCCGAAACCGCTCTCCAACTTCCCCAAGGGGTACCAGATTGCAAGAGGGCACAGGCCAGGCAGAGGGACCCCACCAGTGCACAATTGGGGCTGGGGAGGGAAGAGATGTGGGAGGTTGGCCAGCCAGGGAGGGACCGTGGGAGGGCTCCAGGGCATGTCCGGCCCGTCTCACTCAGTCCCGATCAACTGGACCCCAGGAGCATGCTAACCTACTGGTCAGAGCATATGCCCCCTGGTGGTCAGTGCACATCATAGTGAGCGGTTGAGCGCCCTTAGCATATCATTAGCATGTTACACTTTGATTGGTTGAACAGACAACCAGACAACCAGACACTTAGCATATTAGGCTTTTATTATATAGAATTATTGTAAATTGTCCTGAAGAATGTTTTGAACTCCTTAGAAACTGCCCCCAGGTACTGCTCCCAGGATTCTAGAAAAGTACAGCAGAGTCAGGAGGGCAGGAGAGGAGGAGGAACCAGGCTGGGCCTGATGGAAAGTTGGAGGAAGCCAACGGGAGGGAACAACCCTTAGTGCACAGCAACAGGACTGCCTTTGTGCTGAAGCAGGTACACACTGAGGCAGGAAGAGGATCGAATGCTTGCTGAGCACTGGCCAAGGTCCAGGTTACACCAGGTGCTTCACCTGCATTATCATGGAGCCTCAGTTTGGGTTTCCCCAGAAGAAGACTATTATACATTGAATGCTGTGTCCCTCCCAATTCACAGGTGGAAGTCCTCACCCCCAGTAAGATGGTATCTGGAGGCTGGGCCTTTGAGAAATAATTAGATTTAGATGTGGTCATAAGGGTGGGGCTCTGGGGTGGGATTGGTGCCCTCATAAGAAGAGGCATGAGAGCTGGTTCTCTCTTTCTCTCTCTCTTCAAGCACATGCTCCTGGGAAGGGCCAGGTGAGCACACAGGGAGAAGACAGGAAGAGGGCCCTCACCAGAATTTTACCAGGCTGGCCCCCTAATCTTGGTGTCCCAGCCTCCAGAACTGTGAGAAATAAATTTCTGTTGCTTATAAGACACTCGATCTGTGGTATTTTTTTATAGCAACTCAAGCTGACATCAACAGATCCTAAAAAAACGGTCTGAGTGCAGCCCCACCAGCGTGGCCCAGTGGTTGAGAATTGACCAATGAACCAGGAGGTTATGGTTTGATTCCCGGTCAGTGCACATGCCCAGGTTTCACGCTCGATCCCCCAATGTGGGGTGTGCAGGAGGCAGCCGATGAATGATTCTCTCTCATCACTGAAGATTCTATCTCTCCCACTCCCTTTCTCTCTGAAATCAATAAAAATATATTTTTTAAAAAGAAAAGAAAACGGTCTGAGTGCAAATAGTTTACTTAGACAAGATGCCAGAAAATGGAAGTAGTAGAGTGAGGAGGTGAGATAGGAAGGGCAAGGCAGCCAAAAAGGGGTGTTTTACCAGGTAAGTTACCACTGTGAGCACTGGGAGCTGAGGCCCAGTGGGGATCTCTGGAGGCCGGTGCAGAACAGCAGGTAAGAGATAGCTGGGGACATATCCAGCAACTCACATCCATCACTGGCTAAGGCTGCTCCAGGGCATTCATTTCCCAACACTTCCCATGACGCAGAGCAGCTCTTGCTGCCTGTAGAAAGTAGGGAGGTGGGGCTGCTGCTATTGGCAGTTAGAGGGAGGCCAGAGCTCACTGCAGAGGTCAGCCCACAGGGTCATGGCCACAGGTCAGCTACACGGAGTTAACCACACAGCCTTGTAGGAAGGAGAGTCCATCATTGTCATGTTTTTTTGTTGTTGTTTGTCCTCACCCGAGGATATTTCTCCACTGACTTTGAGAGTGGAAGGGAGAGAAACATCGATATGAGAGAGATACACCAATTGGTTGCCTTCCGCACTCACCCGGACCAGGTCCAGGAATCAAGCCTGTAACAGAGGTAGGGGCCCTTGACCAGAATCAAATCCGGGACCCTTCAGTCCTCAGGCCGATGCTCTATCCACTGAATCAAATCCACTTGGGCTGTCATTTACATTTTAAAGATAAAAAAGCTCAGAGAGGTTAGGCTACTTGTCCATGATCACACAGCTCCCGGATTTGATTTTTCCAGTTCATCAAGGCCCCCCCAAAGTCAAGCCTTTAAGAAGCTGCTGGGTTAGGGGGCAGAGAAGAGCATTACATGAGAGGAGGCCCCTGAATGCCTCTATTAATTGGCTCAGAAGAAGAGTTAAAACATATATATTGCATTTTCTGAGCTGAAACAATTTATAGGCTGTAGTTTATTCAAGACATATCTATGTAAAATCTCTCTGTGAACTGTAGTGTACTAGTTCCCAACACCCCACCCAACACACACACATACTTTTGCCTCCTCCTCTACACATGTCTGGCTCACTAAGAACTGTCTAGAAACCAACCCATCTCCCACTTGATTCTGGAGCAATGCACACAAAAGTAACCCAGTCTAGCAGTCTCACTTTTCAGGCACAAGTGCCCTGGACTGCCTGGGAGAAGAGCATCAGAAGGGCTGTGGTTACCTTTTTGTACCTGTCCTTTGCTGCACTGATATCGTCCTGCAGAAATTGGGCCTCAATCTGAAGGTGCAGATTACGCAGTAAGGCTTCATCAGCTTCCTGCAATGAGAGAGCATCACACATCCGACTCTGTGGGGCACAGAGATGGGTGTGGAATTGGCCAGGTGCGTGTACCCACAGACCCCTTGGAGTTTTACTACAACGCAGATTGTTCATGGGTCTGGGAGGGGTCTATGATTCTGTATTTCTAGCAAAGCATTGGGTTAGCCCAGTGATCGGCTAACTCATTAGTCAACAGAACCAAATATCAACAGTACAATGACTGAAATTTCTTTTGAGAGCCAAATTTTTTAAACTTAAACTATATAGGTAGGTACATTGTTATTAACTCAATTAGGGTACTCCTAAGGCTTAGGAAGAGCCACACTCAAGGGGCCAAAGAGCCGCATGTGGCTCATGAGCCGCAGTTTGCCGACCACAGGGTTAGCCCATTGGAACTGGTCTGGAATAGCAGTTCTCAATAGGAGTGATTTTCACCCTCAAGGGGACATTTGGCAATGTCTGAAGACATTTTATTGTCGCCACTTGGGTGGTGGGATGTTACTACTGGCATCTAGTGGGTAGAGGCCAGGGATGCTGCTAAATATCCTACAATACACAGGACAGCCCCACACAACAATCATCTAGTCTAAAATGGCATTAGTGCCAGGGCTGAAAAACCTTGATCCAGACAGATCAAGGACAATGTTAGGGTATATTTACCAACCAACAACCTTAAAATTTAAGTTACACCTATATTTGTCCTATTTCTCATCATCAGTGAGTTAAGTTTCTAAGACTAAGAAATAGTTTTCGCTTAACAATGAAACCTTCAATTTAACCATTTCTCCCAAGATCTGTTGCTCACCTCCCTGAGGCTACGTATCCCTAATGCAGCATGCATTTTACAATGACTGCTGTGCTGAGCGGCATTCATTCCTTTAAAGTTGGAAATAACATTTATGACAGGAGGTTGAATGTTCTCACCAAACTTTTTGCGAAATCACCGATTTTTCTCTCACTGATCTTGTTTAAACGAACCAACTAGGTTGAAGAGCTGTTTGGGCTCTTAATGAGATAGTGCCATGACAACTGGAATTGACTTAAACACTTCAGTTGTCCAGTGCAACATTACAGGTGAACATTACCTGGACTCCTCAAGACATCTCTGCCATGCACGCCTGCCAATACCTGGGGCCTCGCTAAGTGAATTTTAACTGACTTATTAATGACTTGTTAAAAAAGCATGATGCATGTCAGCAATGGGCTCTCATTAATAAAGGAAGATGTGTGGTTTGGCTAAAATATTTAAGACACTCTCCACTCTTGCATGAACAGGGTTAAGAGAGTCAGGTATGTGGACTGGTTAAGACAGTGGTCAGCAAACTCATTAGTCAACAGAGCCAAGTATCAACAGTACAACAATTGAAATTTCTTTTGAGAGCCAAATTTTTTAAACCTAAACTATATAGGTAGGTACACTGTTATTAACTTAATTAGGGTGCTCCTAAGGCTTAGGAAGAGCCACACTCAAGGGACCAAAGAGCTGCATGTGGCTCGCGAGCCGCAGTTTGCCGACCACGGGATTAAGATATTCTGAGACACTCCCACCATTGTACTAATGGGCTTAGGTTCTGGGAAGGCCTCTGGTCTGCTCTCTTAGGAAAGACACCTGGTTCCTTAACTGTTCCTGTGAAAGACCACTGGAGAAGGAAGATATGAGAACGTCTGGTGCTGACAATAAGGATACCAGGATTCTGACTCTGTTGGATTACCTGCCTTGAATGAATTTATCATGCAAAGTGTAGCCTTAGTTCCTAAAACATCAGAGAGCCGGGACTTCATGGAACCTAGAAAACAGGTTGTATGAACTTTTGGGGGTCTGCAGCAAAATAAATGTTACTAAGAAATGTATGTCAACAATAAAAAAATAAACTTTAAAAAAAAGAAAGAAAGAAATAGACTGGCCAGCATGGCTCAGTGGTTGAGCATCAATCTATGAACCAGGAGGTCGTGGTTTGATTCCTGGTCAGGGCACATGCTGGGTTGAAAGCTCAGTCCCCAGTAGGAGCCATGCAGGAGGCAGCTGATCAATGATTGTCTCTCATTATTGGATGTTTCTACCTCTCTCCCTCTCCCTTCCTCTCTGAAATCAATAAAAATATTTTTTTTAAAAAAAGAAAAGAAATATATGCCTTGTGTGAATCTGGTCTGAAATGTCACAAGATTGTAGGGGAGTGGCCAACCCTCAACCAACTCAAACTTCTGAAGCTATTTTATCTACAAAAAAACCCAACCTTTTAGTTTATCTTAAAGAACTAAAGAGCTCTACAAGATCAAATCAGTTAATTAGCAATCATTAGCAATGTTTCTTAAAGCATTCCTTTTTGCATAGACTTATGCAATTAAAAATTAAGTTATTCCAATACAGCAAGCCTCAGGCATGATTTCAAAGTCTTTCTAGTAGCCCCATTAAATAAAATAAAAATAAATGGGTAAAAGTAATTTTAACATTTTCTTTCACCAAATATACTCCAGATATTGTCATTTCATCATGTAACCAATATTTTTTAAAGTTATTAATGATAGTTTACATGCTTCCCCTTAGGCTAGGTCTTTGAAACCTGGTGTATATTTTATACTTATAACACATTGCAATTTGAATCATCTGCATTTCAGTTGCTCCCAGCCATGCCTAGCCAGTGACTCCCAGGCTGGACAACACAGCTCACCAGAATTAATCTTAGGCACAGTGGAGCATCTCATTCTTCCTCAGTGAGTCCTCCTGGTTTCTGCTCCAAGGTGAATCCCCTAGTCTCTCTATACACTAATTTCCTCATACCTAGTTCTTTCCTCTGAAGACTCTGAAATCCCTTCCTTTGTATCAGGAACACCAACAGTGGGTGACGAGACAGAAGGAAGGAAGGACCACAGACCCGAGCCTTTCTGTGGCAAGTATAGGAGGAGTAGGGTTTTTGGGTCCATGGCTCATTCTCCACCTCCCAAGGACAACCAGGGAATCTGTCTCCCAGGAGTCAGACACAAAGCCAGTGTCTCTGGGTAAAGATGGCCCCTTCACACTTGATATTGGTGCCCCATCCATCTCCCCTGGTGTGGGGAAGCATGGGACTTGATTGGAAAGTCTGTAAGGAGGATCTCTGAAAGGTTGGAGGCCTCTAGGGGACCTTGCTGAAGGCGGCAGCCCCTGCCTTGACTTTTTCAAACAAGTCTGACTACCCCGCCCCCCCGGGGTGTTTTACTAGAATCTTCATGTTTAGACTTCAAAACATCCTTGTATGAAAGACACTACAGATACAGGTGCTTTCTCAAGGACACTTACCATGCTGAGTGTATCTAGAGGTTAATTTTAGTTCAAGCTGTGGTTACAATAAAAGCCTAATTAGGCAGGTGAACAGGGCTGTTTGCTTCTAAAGCAAAACAGTTCCTTAGCCTCTCTTTCACAGAAATGTGTGTCAGAGTAATTTATTCATCCATCACTCAGGGTCTGCCAGTCAGCCAGCCCTGGCACCCTGGGCCACCCCCAAGGTCACACAGATATGCTGAGCACACTGATGGTGTCCTGTATCTCTATGGACTGGAGGCACAGTCCAGAAGTGTGAGTGTTAGCACCCCAGGAGAGACCCTGGGCCACTGAGGGACAGGAGAAAATGAATGAGTCCCTCAGCTGGCCCACCCCCCATAGCAACAGTTCAGAGGTGAGTTCCTCAGTCTCAGAGGGTGAAATGAGAACTCAGCACTCAACTCTTGAGAAGCAGAGAGAAGCCCAAGACAGATTCTAGTCCCCTTGTCTTCTATTAACTTTCATTAACTAGCTATATGACCCACTGGATCAGTCTGGCCTCAACCTTCCCATCTGTGGGGAAGACTAGTTTCCAAGCTGCATTTGTCAGAGCCCTCAGGTTCCATGGAGTTGCTTGAAAGGGCTCTGAGGGAGGAGGGCTGCTAGGTGGATGAGGTGCCTGTCCCACCATCATGTCCTTAAAAGAGATCTCTGCTTTGGCTCCATACATTGGCTTCTCTTGAATATTTTGTTTAAAGGATGTGGCTTTAAAAAGTTTGAGAATTGCTGGCCAACGTGGCTTAGTGGTTGAGCGTGGACATATGAACCAGGAGGTCATGGTTCAATTGCCAGTCAGAGCATATGCCCAGGCTTGGGACGCCATCTCCAGTAGGGGGCATGTAGGAGGCAGCCAGTCAATGATTATCTCTCATCATTAATGTTTCTATCTCTCCCTCGCCCTTCCTCTCTGAAATCAATAAAAATATAAATAAATAAATAAATAATTTGAGAATCAATGACTTCTAGGGTTCCTTCTATTTCTAAAATTGAGTGTTTGGTCCCTTTATTAGCAATAGCACATAGTCCTTGAAACCCAACTTCCAGTTCTTCAGCTCCAGTAATTGTGTATCAATTATGGATGAATTTTTGGTCTAAATTAAGATGTTTGAGAACTCTGCCCCAGCCCAACCTCAACAGTCATTCTTCCCCTACCTCCCTCTTAGGATCATGCCAAAACCACCACTCTTAGGTCCCATCGGCCAGCCCTTTAAAATGCCCAGCCAACATTTGTCCATAAAGGAGAGATTAATCAGGTGCTTCACAAGCATGTTCTCCCCCTTGGAAGACAATCACCTGATAAACTTCCCCAGAAAACTCCCAAAGGTGAGGAGGTGCCACTGGAATATGCAATTGCTGGCATGTTGGGAATTTGTTTGGAAGTGTTTTCTTTTGTTTGTACCGGAACTCAGAAATGTGTAGACGCTTGTGTTTTTATTGTGCTTTGGATACTGTCAGCTGCACTTTCCAAAGCTCCTCCAGCAGAAACGTCAAGATGTTTCCGAACAGAGACTCTGGGTCAATAATCTAGTTTTGGGAAGCATTCCAACCCTGATATGGTATGTGCTTTAGATCTAGGTCAGTGGTTCTCAAAGTGTGGTCCCTGGACCACGCCACCTGAGAAATAATTAGAAATGTTAAATATCTGGCAGATCCCAGACCTACTGGGTGAGAAGGCCTCGGCTCTGGGCCCAGGAATCTGCATTTTAACATGAACTCCAGGTGCTGCCAATGCACACAGACGTTTCAGAGCCACTCACTGATCTGGGCCACTTCTGAGAAAGGCACTGGAAGAATAACTAGAATCTGATGAATCCTTGAAAAATCAGCCTTGCCAACCCCCTCATAGAAGGTCATTAAAAATCCTGCTGTCTGTATCTATACCAAGCACCAAATCCAACCTCTGAGCAGCCTAATTCACACACACACACACACACACACACACACACACACACACACACAACTGCTAAAGAATGAGCATTCAAGTTCATTAAGATTTCTAGTTAATTAGGTTTACAAAAAAACAAAAAACAAAAACAAAACAAAAAATACCTACTTTGATTCTGGATGTCAAAAAAACATTCCAAAAATTTTTCGGTCACTTTCCTTCCTGGTGCTCAGACTGGCCTGGAGAGAGGGGCTGGGCATGTTGACAACTCTCCATCCTCTCTCTTCCCACTGCCTCATTTCCTGACTCTGCCCTCTCCCCTCCACATTCCTCCTCACTCCTCCTCTTCCCAGACTCCTCCTAAACTCCCATTTTCCATGGCCACACCCAGGGATGAATCCCTTTACCGAAACAAAAGGAAATGGGCATTGAGACTGAGTTGATAGCCAAAACCTTATTGATCTAATATGTGTACACATTCAAAGATCTGTCAACCAAAATCATTGATATGACCAGCCAACAGGATGTGAATTATACTCTTCCATTTCATCTCCTTCTTCCCACTTGACGATCTTAATGGACAGAGAACCTGAAGGTCCAGCCTTCACCTGCCAGGTTCTCTCTCAAGATCCTTTATCCTGTGGTAGAGGAGTGTGTGTTTGGGCGTGTGAGTTCACACAAAGATTTAGTTGAAATTACGAAGTCAAGAAGTAGAGTGACAGCAAAAGAAATAGGTGAATCTTGAAATACCACAAAGAGGAGTGTGGGTAACACTCATCGCAGCCATTTAGTTCAGTCCTGTCATTAATCTACTCAAACCCAAGGACGTGCTCAGCTCACCTTGTTAAGCTGCTGAAGCGTTTCTTTTAGCAGCACTTGACATTCGCATTCATTCTCATACCTGCAAATTGCACACATAAGTAAAAGTTGAGCAGCTTCTATGATTCCACAGAGTTGATCACACAATCAGCATTACATTTAATCCGATATGAGTACTATGCCCTCTCTTTTAGAAGAGGTCCCTAATTTTAAAGCAGAAGTTGATGCCGCCTCTCCAAGCCCACTGCTTCCCAACCTCTTTCACATCCTGCCACACACAGGACGTGCTGACATGGGCATCGCACCTGGGCTAACTGGGGCAGTAAATGGCAACAGAGTCTTCCCGTCTGGAGGCTCAATTCCAATCCCCGAGCACGTCCCTCCCAGCCACCAAGGATGAAAGAATGATACCTCAGCACACCTGGAATCCAACAGTGGCACAGAGCCTGGAAATCTACCCTGCCTGACAACACCATTGACCTGGCCTTGTGTAGATTTCCTACACTCCGGTATTTACCAACATGTGTCGGTGTCTCTGGATTATGCCATTGAACCCTCACAAAACCCTGAAAGAAAGACGTATTCTTACCACTAAAGGGTTCCCCAAAATGTGCCATTCTGGCATGTGAATTATTTTGAGCTAAAGGCAATCAAGACCCTGTGGGCACACGGGAAACTTTTACCTCATCCTTAAAGAATTCAAATGAGGGGCCTTGCACAAAATAAGAGTTGTCACCAGAAATAACGTTTTATGGTCTATCTATAGGGCAGGGCAATCCTTGTGGCATCATCCCTGACACCAAAGACCTGCTCTGAGCCAGTGAGCAGGACAGGCTGGATGGGCCAGAGGGTGGCCCTGGCAGGAAGGTGAGTGGGTGCATAAACACCCCAGCTCTTTCCCTCAGCTGGGACAAGTGAGGTGTGTCCTCCACCCCACAGGTTAGTCCCAGTTGCCATGGTGGGAACTTGCTGAATAATGCACTCTGTGTTAGCTGCCTTCCCTTCCTGCCTTTCCTCACTCCTCAACCTGTGCTCCCTGAGGTCACCTCCCAAATAAGCTACTTGCCCTCAAGCCCCTGTCTCAGGCTCCGGCTCCTAAGAGACTCCAAACTAAGAAAGGCATGAAATCTAATTAAAACACGGTTGCACAAGTTTTACATTTCACGCCAAGACGTCACATTTAGCAGTTTCTTTTGTGTGTGGCTGTAATGGAGTCAGAAATTATTTTTTAATGGTTAATTAACTTTGAGAATAAAACTGTTAACAAAAATCTAATTTTCTCATTGCTTTTTCCTGCTAAAAACATCTTAAGAATTTCTATAGCTTAAAAACAGGTTGGATAAACAACATATTAATGTGACTTTCATGCTATAGAAAAGTCTAGATATTATATTAAAGACAAGTATCTTCATTATAAAAATTCATGATAAGAATTCAAGATATATTTATATATTCATATAAGTGAATATATAAGTGAATTCATAAAATGAAAATACACTGGCTTTAATTATCCAATTGTTTTATACAACTGTTTTGGTTTTCAGCAGTTTGGATAATTGACTATGTTCACCATTGTATTTTGATGGTTTCATTTGTTTTTATTTCATTTTATTATATTTAGTCTTTGTTTGACATGTGAAAGAACTGATTTTGAAATTATTCAACTATCCAAATAAAAAATATGCCTAACAAGGCTGCATATTCCTTCGCATGCCTGCATTATTTTTATCTGCTTTGGCTAACCATCAAGTCCCCTTTGGAATGTGAAACCAAACTTGGTGTGTGTATACGCATGCATGTGGATGGTTATGACTTTTATAATAATTTTCAAGTCCCACTACCCCAGCCAGAATATCAAAACTTCTCCAACAGGGCAATGAAAGGGAATAAATTAAGGGGAATTATTAAAGAAATCACAGAATCTGAAGGAACTGCTCCATGATGCAGACATAACCAGAACCAAGTGAAATCAGGAAAACTCAATATGATCATTTGTTCACTGAGGGCTCAAGGGAGTCACAGTAGACTGTGGTCTAATGTGGTGACCATTTGGGGATCAAGGGAATCCTGCTGGCCCATGGAGCTGGGTGTCTGAACCAGCGTACACTTCTCTTTGCTCTAGAGAACTTGATCTTCATTTGAATGAGGTCTACGTCTTATTACTGGACCTCATTCCACAGGAGTCCAAGAGTAACTTCTCTCCAAGACAATGTTCTAGGAAGCATATGGACTCAGGGCAAGAAAACCTGAGTTCAAGTCCTGCCACCCAAGGACCCTCTCCAAGCCTCTGGATCAAAATTAAAAAAACAACAACCCACAAACAAAACAAAAAAAAACAGAAGGATTGCCTGTCTGGCGTGGCTCAGTGGTTGAGCATTGACCTATGAACCAGGAGTCACAGTTTGATTCCTGGTCAGGGCACATGTCCATATTAAGGGCTCGACCCCCCAGTAGGGGACATGCAGGAGGCAGCCAATCGATGATTCTCTCTCATCATTGATGCTTCTCTCCTCTCACTCTCTCTCTCTCTCTCTCCCACACTCCCTCCCTCTCTCTCTCTGCCTTCCTCTCTGAAACCAATAAAAAATATTTTTAAAAAACCAGAACGACTGATTGAAATTAAATCAATTATTTGACCTGATAAATATGCCCAGTACACAGCAGTGAATAACCTACCCAAGACTCAGACTGAGAATGTGGAACTTGAAAGGTGAACATGGTGGATGATGCCCACAGGTAGGCTAAATAGCCATCTCCTACAGTGATTACAGAAAATTGAATTTATTTAAGGAACAGAGTAGGGGGTCGTATATCCAAAAGGAAGGGCTGCACAGCACCAAGCCAAGGGGACACTGGGTTGATGATGGCAGCACCCAGGAGCGGGAGTTTCCCTTATATGGGAAGCTTTTGTTGTCAGTGGGTCGGGGACTGAGTAGGTGAGCTCATAATGGGGTGGAATGCAGGTGTATGATCAGGTGCCTTCAGGACCGTTTTCATCCCTTGTATGGTCTGACTCCTGGTGTCCAACGAGCTTTTCCTGGTTTTTTGTTCTCTTCTGGTGGGAAGTGTGCAAGTGTCTGTTAAGGATTGTATTGCCCTATAGGCCTAACATTTCCCTCCCCTTTCTATTTGTTAATTATTATTTTTAATTGGGGTGAAGGTCTCTATCTTCTGTCAGTCATCCTAAGGTAGCAAGACCCCCTGGTGCTTGAATAATGCATAAGGGATATATGAATAGTTACCCCACATATCAGAAACCAACCAGCCGGCAGCTTAGTATGTCCATTACTATGAGGGAGGGTGAACTTATCAAAACAATTTATACTGTTGTCAGATACTGAAAGACAGTAACTAGAACACCTAGTAAAAGGCAGACATTCACCCCAGTGTCATTAGCTTGTTTGTGTGTGCTTGTGTCCTCTTTTTCCTTGTGCAAGCAGAAAACTTCTACTCTTCACCCCTTTCTTAAATAAATGGTAATAACACACTATTCTTGTTCTTTTACAATTGCATAGTATCCCATTGTATGAACGAAGCACAACTGTGTAACCTGTCTCCCATTATTAATCAGCATGTAGGTTGGTTCCAGACTTTTGCCACTGCAGATCCCACGGCAGTGAATATCCTGGTAGGCGTGCCCCTTGACACCTGCTGGGCTATCATAGTAAATTCCTTGATGGAAATGACTCTGCTGAGTCTAAGAGCACACGCATTTAAAACTTGGAAAGATGTCGACAAATTGCTGAGCATCCTTTTCTTTTGAATAGCTCATGTTAACACATTGTCTGTCGGAAGGTGGAATCATGACCCGGACCAGGGCTTCTGAAACTTCAGTGTTTAACTTCTTAAACTACGAACCACTGGGGGGCAGGTGGGGGGGGGCGGGAGCTCTGGGGTGAGTCCAAGAGTCTCCCTTTATAACAAGCTCCTAGGTGACGCCAATGCTGCTGGTCCATGGGCCACACCGACTAGCAAGACCCAGGAAGGCACACATTGAAAAGATTTCCAGGTGTTGGCTGTGATGCAGTGAAAACCATTAGGCTCAGCATGTCCATCACTTCAATCCAGTCCCAGGGCAGCAATTTACTAGCTGAGTGACCTTGCTCCAAATCCCTACATTTTCTGAGCCCCAGTCTCCTCATCTGTTAAATAGGTGCAGACAAATACAATCTATAACTGGCTGTGAGGATTAAATAACATTAATGCATTTCAAAAATACTGTGGTCAGTCAGCAAAAGAAAGCCAGACACAAGAGCCATCTGTAATATTCCGTTTTTGTGAAATTCTAGAACAGGCAAAATTAATCTTTGGTGATAGAAATAAAAACCTCTGGGTTTTTTGATGGGGGGCGGGGGGGGGGGCGGTGTGAATGATAACTGAAGATTGACTTGAAAAGGGTAGAAGGGGAATTTCTAAGGTAGAGGAAATATTTTGCTTGTTTTGATAGCAACATAGGTATATACATTTGTCAAAACTCACTGAACTGTGTCCTTAAAATCTGTGCATGTTGTTATATGGAAATTATACCTAAATTTACTTTTAAAATACCTTAAAAGTAAATGATACCATTTCATGTAAACTGTGAAGTACCATCAAAATAGAAGCTAGTCTTATTTTAGGGAAATGGACCTGTGCACCAGCCCCTCCCACCCACCCTCCACCCCCCCCCCCCCCCCCCCACACACACACACAAACACACACACTGTGGTCATGAGGACCAGGACACCAGAGATGGCCCTCCAACCTGGATAGCACTTGCTCTTAGATCCCTGCCGCAGGTGCCGCCCCCCGCCCTGCCTCAGTTTCCCCCCACGACCAAAGCTTACTTGCTCCGGTACTCGTCGAGCGCGCGCTGCGCCTCTGCGCCCCGGCGCTCCAGCCCGGCGCGCTCAGCCGCCAGGTCCCGGGCGCGCTGGCGATTGCCTTCCACCTGGCGGAGGAGGGCGTCCTCGGGGCCGGCCAGCTCGCCCAGGCGCTGAAAGGCATCCAGCTGCCGCCGGAGGACGCCGTGGCGCTGCTCGAGCGCGCGAGCCCGCTGGACCTGGGCGGCCACGCGCTCGCCGAGGCCCTGCAGCGCCGCCAGGTTGGGCGCGGCGGCTGGGTCCGAGGCCAGGCGGCCCGGCGCCTCCTCCTCGGCCCGCTCGTACCGCTCCTGGCGGGTCTGGAAGACGTAGCTGCGCCGGTACATGGCTCCTCCGCCGGCGAGCGCGGGCAAAGCCGGCTCCAGGGGGCCCCTCGCGGAGCCACAAGCCCGTTAAATAAACAGCGGAGGCCGCTGGCACGCTTCTGGGACGTTCCAGAGCTGATCAGCTGTCGTGATCCACACGGTGCCCAGCCTCAGGGAGAATAAAAGAGCAGCAGGCATGCTTTTGTGAGCTGGATTAACGAACCATACAGCTCCCGGGCTTGCGAGGTTAAGTTGGGCAATGAGGTTTTTGTTCCGTGATTGTTCAAGTCCGTCCTGTAGGATTGAATGGAAGGTCAGGGGGACAAGAGGAGCGTGACCTTCTTTTGACTGGTTGCACTGGAATTGTGAAGGAAGCCCAAGGGAGCGTTGGACTAGCTCAAGAGCCCAAGGACCCCTAGCTTTGTCTATGTCTCTTAGAGTCAAGCTTCAATTATAGAACTTTAAACAATACTATGGCATAGTATTGTTTAAAGTGGTCGGCGAACTCATTAGTCAGCAAAGCCAAATATCAACAGTACAACGATTGAAATTTCTTTTGACAGCCAAATTTTTTAAACTTAAACTATATAGGTAGGTACATTGTTATTAACTTAATTAGGGTACTCCTAAGGCTTAGGAAGAGCCACACTCAAGGGGCCAAAGAGCCGCATGTGGCTCGAGAGCCGCAGTTTGCCGACCACTTAAATTAAGCAATTCTTTTTCTTAATTACAGTATACCTTGGTGTTTAGGAACGCTCCTTATGATAGAAATTCTTAACCATGGATGCAAAATAAAATGCTACGACTCAATCCTGGCTGGCGAGGCTCCGTAGTTGAGCTTTGACCCATGAACCAGGACGCCATGGAGGCTTCCCGGGTCAAGGCACATGCCTGGGTTGCCGGCTCGGTCTCCCGTGTGAGGCATGCAGGAGGCAGCTGATCAATGAGCCTCTCTCATCATTGATGTTTCTATCTCTCTCTCCCTCTCTCTTCCTCCCTAAAATCAATCTATATATATATATATTTGTTTATATATATTTGTTTATATATATATATGTTTATATATATATGTTTATATATATGTTTATATATGTATATATATGTTTATATATGTATGTATGTATATATATATATATATGTATGTATATATATATATGTTGGGTTTTTTTTTAATTCCACGACTCGGTAAATTGTGAGGTGTGGCATTGCCGAACGTTCTTACCTGTGCACATTTGTGAAGAATCTACTCTTTGTACAAAAACTTAGGAAACAAATGCACAGTTATTATGATGTCACCCTTGCTTTCCTGGATTCTGACATCCTTTCTGGAGTAGGAAAACAAATAGAGCTCCATCAAGCCATTTGCATAATAGATTATTTGAACTAAAGAAAAAAAATCCTTACAGCCTAAAATTTAATAAATTGTCATACTCTCAATTAAATATTATAAAAGAACTTTTGGCTACCATGTTTCATTTTAATTTGTATTATGGAATTAACAAAGCTACCCTTTGACAAATTTAAAAGCAAATTGTGGGTATTGAAATAAATAATAGCATTTGATGAAAAATTTACTAAATATAAATATTTTGTCATATCTCCAATTTTTAAAATCATTAAAAAAGGCTCTTTTTGTAAAAATAAGGATTAGTAGCACCATCTGATTAACAACTGTATAGGTTATGTATAATTATACTATAAACTCATGGTTATCAAAGATCAAGAAAATTACACATTTCTTTGTTGGGTTTATTAGGTTTATTATTGCTCCAAAAAGACTGCAACTTAATAGATTCAGTCTAGAATGAAGCTATGTAAGGTCCCAAGTTGTGTTGGTGATGTGGTTATTGTTTTATTATATTTTCTTAAGCCATTACAAATAAATGTTATGATCAAATCAAAGAGAGCCATAGGAGGATATATGCAGGTATACAAATACCATGCTGATGGCATGGTAAATTGGTTTCAAGTATCCTAGAGAGCAAACCAACATAGAACAAGGGTTATAAAATCATTCATGCCCTATGATATCATGTATCTGGCAGGTATCACTACAGAACAAACTGACCCCAAAACTAAATGGCATAGAAAAAGTATTTATCACTACATTCCCAGGTCTGCAGGTCAGCTGGAGCCGCTCTGCTCCAAAATGTCTCTCATCCTCTTAGTGACAAAAGGACAAGAGCATGCCCAGGCACACAAGCTCATTCCAAACCTTTGTTTGCATCATGGCCACTAACATCTCATTGGTCAAAGCAGATCACATGGCTACAGCCAAAGCAAGGAGGCAGGGAATAGGCATGGCAAGGGGGTGGGTGTGTAACTCCTTCACACTGAAGAATGGGGACCAGAAACTCAGTTGACCACACATAGTAATCCCATTTGAGAATAAATATATCCCAGAAACATAACAAAAGAAAAAATATAATTTCAATTTATTCCAGTAGAACAAACACTTAGAAAATACCTATTCACACAGTATAGTCTCTTAGAGAGATCAATATCGAACAAGGTCAAGTCCCAACCTTCAAGATGCGGGAGGACAAATTCCTACCCAACTAATGAAGACACTGTCAACATAAGAAACATCTAAACCTGTAGAGAATTGTAATGAGTTTATTTGAGCCAAACAGATGATGTGTCAGGGAACAAGATCTCAAATGCTCAGGGAATAACAGTTTTGCAGCTTCTTTTATGCATTCAAAATTAAGAAGGGAATGTAGGACGATTGGAGAAAGCGAGACAGGGATTGGATTACAGGGTAGTTAAGAAGATATGTGCTCTCTTAGGGGTTAATAACCCCTTGGAGGGACGTTACTTCCGGTCAAAGATGAGCTAACCTGTATACATAAGAACAATGGACAGGTCTGGGTAATGACAACCCACAATGACCTGCCCAATTAGGAATCAGATCAGATCACCCTGTGAGATTGCTTTCCATAAAGCCTGTTCCTTTTTATTTATTTACTAGTGGCCCGGTGCACGAAATTCTTGCACATTAAAAGGGAATTAATTAGAGAAAATATTTTAATATTTCTATTTGCCCTTTCTCTATAATAGAAGTGTCAGAGATGAAAGAAAATTAGTAAAATGTATATGAAAATCTCCCTCCTGTCAGAGTCTGGGGTGTGCCGTGGGACCCAGAGTCAAGTCCCCACCCACCTGCATGTGCCTTGAAATTGTGGGAGACCCAGACCCGGCCAGCCCCACCTCCGTCAAACCCCGCAGGGTGGGGAGCGCAGCCTCAGGTCCCCTGTCAAGCCCTGCTGGGCGGGGGGGGGGGGCATGGCCTAGGTCCCCCCAGCCTGGCCTCAGGTCTCCCAGCCTGGGCATGAGAGCGAGAGGGTGTGAGGGCATGATGACTATTTGCATATTAGCTCTTTATTATATAGGAGGATTTACTTTACACCAACACACACACACACACACACAAAACTGAGATACCAGTAAGTTCTAAAATAGAGAGCTTTACAAAACCATGGACATAGACAATAGGTCAGTGAAGGCCTGGGGAGGGGGTAAGAGTGGGGAGGACGGGATCAATGGGGAGAAAAAAGGGGACATCTGTAATACTTTCAACAATAAAGATAAAAACAAAACAAGAAAGAAGCCTCAGTAAGTAGTGTGTGGCTCGGTAGAGAAGTTAGAATTCCAGACACAGCAGCATAAACAGGGTGAGACAGCACCTGGGTGCTGCATAAACAGGGTGAGGTGCAGTGGAATGAGCCAGATGTTCCTAGAAAATGGTGAGGATGATTTGAGGTGGGCATGGCAAGTAGGGAGGGCTGTGCTTCCCACTAGTTGTAGTGGATTGAATAGGGGTGTTATCTCTGCTTCTTCCCCTAAACCAGTGGTTCTCAACCTTCTGACCCTTTAAATACAGTTCCTCATGTTGTGACCCAACCATAAAATTATTTTCGTTGCTACTTCATAACTGTAATGTTGCTACTGTTATGAATCGGAATGTCAGTATCTGATATGCAGGATGGTCTTAGGCGACCCCTGTGAAAGGGTCGTTCGACCGCCAAAGGGGTCGCGACCCACAGGTTGAGAACCGCTGCCCTAAACCCTGTGGGGCCAAATGCTGAACCTGATCAGCTCAAGGGAGGCCTGCATGGCAGCCTTATAAACTCAGAGACCTAAAGTAACCACATAGGATGGTTTGAAACGAAAACTTTTTAACAAACAGCAGTTCATGGCGGGTAGACAAGTCTTAGGCTGGTATCTTCCCTGACAACTGAGCCTATTGTCTTTTTGCATCTACGATAACATACCTTTGGAATGTCAGGGTAATTTCATTTTTTCTGGACCCCCTCACTGTACCAGGGCAGAGATCACAACACCCCTCATTGTTATTGTTATCATGTTAATTGTTAACCGCTAACTATTCTATACCCACAAATGTAAAAGAAGTGCGTGTCTATTTGGTTTACTTTTTACCCAATCCCAGAGATTGCCCTGCTTTGCCTTCTCTCACCTCCTTAATCTATCACCAATGGATTTCATGTAACCCCTTAAGTGTCCTCCTTGGATTGTAATGTATAAAATAAGTTGTAAAACTGCCACTCTCTGGAGCATTTTCTCAATCCGTTGAGATTTTGCTTCCCAACAATTGTCATAAGTTTGGCTCAAATAAACTCATAAAAATTTGAATGTTTCTTACATTGACAATCCCACCAGAAAATGGTAGCAACAAAACTTTTTTTCAATTAAAACTCCACCAAAAAAAAAAGAGGAAAAGATGCTAGGCAAAATCGTTTCTAGTGCTTGACGTGACCAATGCCATCCTAAGAAGCAAGTTGCTCTCAGTGACCTGGGAGGAGTGGACACATATCACCTGAAAGGAAGCAGGCCCCATTAAGCTGTTTACTGCTCTGCAATATATCCACATGCCACTTGGTTGTAAGCCACTTGTGTTCCTGGAGGCCGTATATATCAAACCTCATCCACTTTCTGGTATGGAGATTCACTGTGTTGCTGCCGCCCAAGACTCTGCTTCTGTCCTTAAGTTCCCTTGATAAACTCTAACTCCAGAGTTGTCAGCCTTTTTCTTCAGTCTCTTTACCTATCCTCCTCAGGAAACTTTCCCAACAACAGATCACAGTGCACAAGATATGTCAACAAATTTTGAAAGGCTGAGTAGAGATAGATTAGTGGCTACTGACTTAGCAGAGTGGAGAAAGCTGAAACCTAAGAGCCTGCAGAGAGGAATGG